AAAGATATCATTTTCTCGGATTACTTGAAGATGGTGTGACCTCTTTCTTTTCAGCGGAGGAGGGTGGGTGGAGCTCCTGTTGACGATGAGGAAGAGAGCGAAGCTGCCTTTCTACTAGTTAAGGAGCTTGTCTCTTTTTTTTGAGGTGTTACAGGTGCTGGCTGAGCTTCAGCGAGGCAGCTTTAACTTCTTGATTGGTGAGTGTGATGGGGGAGGAGCATTGTTGGGTCCCTGAGGCAGTAGTTGAGGGTGGAGGAGAAGCTGGGCTGATTTTTGGCTGAACCTGAGGGCTGTCTGACAGAGAGAATGACAGCTTCATCCCAGCTGAAACCAGCTTCTCCATAATAGGTGGGCGGTTCAGATGGGGTGAAGAGGTGGTAGAGATTGAGGAATGTGTGGACTGTTCATGCAGTTTTGGTGTCTCCAGCAGCTGATATGGTTAAACATTATCAGGGCTCTCACCCGATAAGTGCAGCTCCGTCAGGGCGTTTCTCAGTGGGGGGAAGGATGTTGAGGGTCTATATTATAAGTGTATAAACAGGATCTTCTGACTGAAGTGTTTCTCTCACAAGTTCAGTTACTGTTCACACATCAGATAAAAACATCAGCACACAAACATTCTCACATCAATAATAAAGTTTATTTATATTAATATTTTATTTATGCCCACATTTCTATCATTCTATAAACATTCAGCTTGTTGTCTGTTTATGCCTCTGTCTACAAATCACTCAAAGCATCATCGGCCACAGGAATAAAGCAGACGGAGAACATTTTTCTCAAACTTTTCAACCACATAAGTTACAATGACAACAGCTCACATATTTACATGTTTAAGTGCTGTGTCATGTATGAAGCTTTGTCTGTAAAACACTGCAGAGTTTATATTCCACCATCTCACCTTCATCTTTATCTCTACACAGTCTGATTTTTTCTACGTTTTTTGCTGTTTACATGTTATTAACATGATCAAAACATTCTGTAAAGTAGGACTGTGTTATAAAATGTTTCAAAAAAGTTATAAAAATTTGTTATAGAAAAGCTTTTAATCCAGATTTATGGTATTAGAAATTCACTTAGATCAGGGAAAATGTTACTAATGCAAGCAAAACAGTAAAACTGTAAATATTCTTAAAAATCTCAAAATTCAAATTTAAATTATTAAATTTATTCCTTATTAGTGAAAAGTGAACTGTAAAATGTGAAAATTCAGTGCATAGATTTAAACTTACTTTTTTTACTTTTACACCTAAGAACAGTTTATTTGACAATTAAATTTCCACCAGCAGAAAAATCAACTGGAATGTGTAATAATTAAAATTTCAACATGTCAAAGTTTAAAAGTGGTAAATAAGCAGATATTAAAATTTAATTAATGATGCTTAAAAATGTTCTTAGCATTAAAATAAAAGTGGGAAAAGCCACAAACTATTTTTAGTGAGAAGTCTATATAAAATCAAATTTATTTTAACTTGTTTAATATCAAGAAAGTGTGGATTAAAAGCTAAATGTTTTCATAGAACGATATTTAAACTTATAACTACAAACCTACAACATTAGTTGAAATGTCTACAGTTTTAAACGTAATTCACTCATAAGAAAACAATTAATACAGACAAACGATTAACTGACAGAACTAAAACGCTGCGACTGATTAGTGAGGGAACAGCGCTAATACAGTCGTTTTTATCTTTAATCTAGATGAACCTGAGCACCTAAACACACGCACCTGCACAGGTATAACCAACACCACACACCCACCAAAAAACAGACCTGATGGAGCTCCACCGGCAGTTAGTGAGAGAGGATTTCAGGGAGGATTTCTAACTGTACAGCAGTGCATGCAGGCCTGCTTGTAGTTCTCTCTTCGCCACCAGATGCCAGTACTATAACACTGTTTTCAGCCGGAGCTGCAAATGCAGACAAAACTAAATAACAGCAAATGAGAATCTTTCATTTAGTTTCACTCTTTTCTTGCAGTACAACCTTTAATAAATATATACAGTGATTTAGGTTTAGACTAAAATCTGTTTTAGTAGATTCTTTTAAATTATTTTAATTTCATTTAATATTTTAAATCACGTTAGTCGACTTCTAATTGTGCAGTGAGTCCTCCAGACCTGTAGGGGGCGAAGCCTCTTCATTCAGGTGAGCTGGCTTTGCGCACTCAGGTGGCCAAACAGTATGAATCCTGACAGAGGCCAGTTTTTTCATAGACGTCCATTCAGAATGACCTTCTTTTTCTGGAGAAATCATTTATTTTTAAATCTACATTTCATTGGTCACATGACATTAACGATTCACATCATTCTCTCCAGTGGTGGTGCTGAAAGAAAGATGGCGGCGTCGATCCCACTGAAATTAGCACAGCTAATGCTAATGCTAAAGCCTACAGCTGTTCTCAGCAACTCACACTGTCAGTGAGGTTAAATTCAGGATTAGCATTAAAATAACCTCAATAACACACACACACACACACACACACACACACGCACACACTAACATATACACACACATATAAATACATACACGCGCATATAAATACACAAACACTAACATACACGCACACACACTAACAAACACGCACACACTAACATACGCACACATGTATAAATACACACACACTAACATATACACATAAATACACATGCATATAAATACACAAACACACACTAACACACACACACACACACACAAGCACTAACATACACATGTAAATACACACAGTAATATATAAACAAACACATACACACACACACAAATGCATACTCACACACAGTTACATATACACACAGTACTCCACATTCTCTATGTGTGAGACTGGGATACTGTATATAAGGATGTGAGTGTGTGTGTGTGTGTGTGCTGTGCTGTCAGGTCGCTTGCAGCTCAAACGCTGCCTGGGAGTAAAAATAGATTAAACTGAAGACCATTGAGCCCTCCCCCCAACAAACACACACACACATACACACAGACAGCATTCCTACACTCACTCACTCAGAGAGAGCAGAGAAATAGGTTTAGAGTTTAGACCTAAATTTACACTAATCCTGATCCAGCACAGATCAATCATGCACACACACACACAACAATACACACTTGTACACATAAATACACACATACACACACATATAGATACACATATTTGCATATACACACAAATTATGGTTAGATTAGACAGGGTTTAATTTAAGATTAGATTTACAGTAAAGGTAGATTAGGGTTAAATTAGATTAAATTAGGGTTATATTAGATCAGATTATGGTTAAATATATCTGTAATAGATTAGATGAGATTAGGGTTAAATAGATTAGAATAGTGATAGATTAGATGAGATTAGGGTTAGATAGATTAGAATAGTGATAGATGAGATTAGGGTTAGATAGATTAGAATAAGGTTAGATACATTACATTAGGGTTAGATGAAGGTTAGATTAGGATTATTTAATAATTAGAGCAAGATTAGATTAGGGTTACATTAGATTAAATTAGGTTCAGATTAGATCAGATTAAAGTTAGATACATTAGATTAAATTAGGGATAGTTAGGGATAGGTTAGATTAGACTAATTAAGATTAAAGTTTGACAGATTAGGCGAGATTAAGGTCAGATTAGGGTTTTGGTGGAGTTGTGTTCAGATGAAATTAGATCAGACAGAGCTCCAGGCTGATGTACAGGTCACATGACCTCACTGAAAGAGAAACTGAATATTCACGCTCCGCCGGAGCCCAATGACCAGCGACACACAGACACTCACTCACACACATAAAGCAGATGTAGGTCGCAGTGTGCTGCGGGGGAGGAGAATGTGTGTGTGTGTGAGTGGGGGAGACAGGCAGTTCAGTGCAAGTCTGCACAACTGTCACATCATATCACACACACACACACTCAGAGCTACTAAACACACTCCTCTACGCTCCTCTGCTCATCGTCTCTCACAGAGATAAAACTGACTGTCCACTCGCCAACCAACACAGATCACAGCGCAGTCAGACAAACTGGACAAAGTAGCTCAGCCCAGGTGATACACACACACACACACACACAAACTGACCACTTTATTAGGACTCACTGTGCACTTTATCAGCTCCACTGACCATAGAGTTTCACGTGGTGTAGTCCATCTGTTTCTCTGCATACTTTGTTGCCCTGTTCTTCAATGGTCAGAACCCCCATAGAGCAGGTATTATTTGGGTGGTAGGTCATTCTCAGCACAGCAGTGGCACTGACATGGTGGTGGCATGTTAGTGCGTGTTGCATTGGTGCAAGTGGATCAGACACAGCAGTGCTGCTGGAGTTTTTAACACTGTCTCCACTCACTGGCCACTCCATTGGACACTCCTAACTTGTTGGTCCACCTTGTAGATGCAAAGTCAGAGATGATAGCTCATCTGCTGCTGTACAGATTGTGTTGGTCATCCTCTAGTCCTTCATCAGTGGTCACAAGACGCTGCCCACAGGACGCTGTTGGCTGGATGTTTTTGGTTGCCCAGCAGCGACACTAAGGTGTTTAAAAACTTCAGCAGCACTGCTGTGTCTGATCCACATGCACCAGCGCAACACACACCAACACACCACCACTACATCAGTGTCACTGCAGTGTCTGATCCACTCAGAAACTTTAAATCCACACCACATTTACTTCTCTGCACTGAGATGAGCCAGTTGAGGTTCTTTGGGTGTCTGATCAGGATGTCCCCCTGACCACCTGCTGTTGAGGGTTTACCAGGTACGGCCGACTGGGACGAGACCCCAGGGTCGTCCCAGGTGCCGCTGAAGGGAATATATCACCAAGTTGGCCTGGGAGCGGCTCAGGATCGTCCAGAAAGAGCTGGAGGAAGTTGGGGGGGACCGCTGGGATTCTCTCCTTTCTCTACTGCTACCATGACACCAGCTGGACCAATTGGGTTAAAAAGATGAATTTGATAGTTATTTTGTACAAAGAAAATTCTTCTTTTGTATTTTTCCAGTAATATGTATCAGAGGAAGTGAAGATTAAGGCTTGGATATGAAGAAGACTTGAATTTCTGGGTTTTGTTATTGTTATTTGTTATATGGTTACAATCTGAAAGAGAGAAAATGCTTTGATTTCTGTTTATTCAACAATGTTATCACAATAAAACAAAATGTGACATTTGGTGTGATTATTACTGATCAGATCACCAGTTAAAGCACACTTTGCAGTAGCGAGGGGGTAGGGTTTGTGTCTCTTTATAAAAGCCTAAAACTGTATCAACAACAAAAATAACTAAACTCAGAGTTACTGAAAAGAAAATTCTGAAAGATAACGTGCAGAACGACACACACACACAGCTTCATTAAGTGTAAACAGCTGTTCTGCAGAGTAATTAATGTATTTTAATGAGGCTGTTATTATTCCATCTCCTCACGGTTCATCAGAGAGACAACGGAGAGAACAGGACGCAACTTTACTTCCATCAAAACAGAGTTCAGAGTTCTCTGTTCTGTTCTACGTTCTAGATAATAATCTGACTGGCTGGTCAGTAGCGGTGGTGATGCTGTCACTGACTGGCCACTCAGTAGCTGTGCTGATGTCTGATTGGCCACTCAGAAGTGGTGGTGATGCTGTCTCTGATTGGCCAGTCAGTAGTGGTGGTGATGCTGTCTCTGATTGCCCGGTCAGCAGCAGTGGTGATGCTGTCTCTGATTGGCCGGTCTGTAGCGGTGGTGATGCTGTCTCTGATTGGCCAGTCAGTAGCGGTGGTGATGATATCTGACTGGCCAGTCAGTAGCGTTAATGTCTCTGATTGGCTGGTCAGTAGCGGTGGTGATGTCTCTGATTGGCTGAGTTATGCTGGTTTCCTCCATGTCCTGATCTCCAGCCAGGTGGTCCCGCCCAGTCTCGGCTCCCGCGATAACCACTGTCCTGAAACCTAAACAAACAACATACTTTAAAACCCCTTTTTTTCTACAGATATTATTAATATTAATAATAAGAACAACATTTTAACATCAATAACAATAATAAAAATAAAAATAATAATTATTATTATTAATTTTTATTATTACTACTATTATTATGGTCTCAATTTTCAGTTACTTTTATCAGTATTTTTCAGTTATTTTTAATCAGTATTTTTCATTTGTTTCTGGTCGATCCATCTGTGGTTTAATTTGGTTTATTCTATTTGTTGCGTTCTCAGACGAAGCTTAAGTCGGCTTCTCATTTGAATTTTCCCGTTCCACCTTCAATAGTGCGGCAGTTGGTATTATTACACCTGAGGCACCAAAAGGTAACTGCTGGAATTTTTAAGGTGGAACAAGAAAATTCTCTCAAGCTGGTGAATATGAAGCCACTTCAGTCTCGTTGTTCTCTGTGTCTAAAATTAGGCTGATGTACAGGTGAGACAGTAACATTACACAACTCAAAACATGTAAACATTACAGATGAGGTTTGATCTTATGTAGTAAAGTTGGTTGTTGTGGATTCAGGTTAATGATGATAACGAGGCACTGCATTCACTTAAGACAGAAAGGTGACATGTTGGAGTAAACAGAATAATGACTAAATTAAATGTCTTAACATCTTTTCTGCTCTTTTCTGGACTGAAGGCAGTGAGTAAATCGAGTAGCTGCTCCATCTCTGTCATTTATACTGAGATTTCTTATCCAGTGTGAATCACAAACATCACAGACATCCTAAGGTTAAACTGGCCTCCCCTCCTCCCCAAAGAGAACTAACTCCATCTTAATAGGACTATAAACTGGTCTTAAGAGAAGTGTTATTTATGTTATCAGTAGGTCTGTGAAGCTCAGTTAATCTACCTTTAATGTAATTGGTGGTGATTTAATAAAAACACAGTTTTATTTCCCTATTTTTACTTATTCATCTCCCCCATATAAAAACAAGGTATGAACCCATCTGTGGCTCAAAACTCGAAGAAAAATGAACAAGTTATTACTGAACAAAATATTTCCTTTAAAGATGAAGCAAAATTAATAAACAGTGTGCGTGTGTGTATTACGTGTTGTAATCAATTCACAGCTAGTTTAGATGCCGATTGTTTGTCTGTGAGTGAGATTTTATATCGGAGTGTAAATAAACTAATAAACTCTGCTCGGTCTGTTTAAGCGTTGCTTATTAACTCTAAGAAACTCCCCGCGCAGCCAGTGTTTTACCGCGTGTCTCTGTAGCGCGCGCCGCCGCCGCCTCCGCCTCCGCCTCCGCCTCCGCCTCCGCCTCCTCCTCGCGCGCTCCTCCAGCCCTCCAGCACCGGAGGCTCTTGAGCTCCGCTCCGCACGCGCTGCTGAAACTCTTCATCCTGCTCGGTAAAACGGCTCGCGAACTGCGCCTCGTACTCAGCCATTAGAAGGCGAGGCGAACAAAACAAAACAAGCTCGTGCGCTTCCAGCTGTCGCAAACAGAACCCACCGGCGCGGTTCCAAAAACACGTGCACTGATCAGATCAGAAAACTCTCTTCCGGAATAAAATCCGAAAATAAGAGATTTTAAAATAAAGTCGTTTAAAGCTTTAACGTTACTGCACGAGCACAAAACGCGAGGGGAATTCTCACTGCGCAGCCTATATAATGTTCCCCCTTTCGTTCTTCCTTCAAAGCAAGGGTTCCGGCATCACTTCCGTTCCTCTCAGAGCCACACCGGATTAATCAGAACTGAATCAGAATTAATACTGGAACAGAACTGAATCAGAATGAAAACTGAAACAGAACAAAATCAGAATTAGGACTTGAATCAGATTCCGAACTGAATCAGAATGAAAACGTCCCTCCAACTTGCAATTCCTGCTGGGAAAAGTCGGAGTTTCTCAGTGACTTCAGCTTCTCCAACAGGTGCTGCTCCGTACTGTGTTCAACATGGCGGCGCCCTCCGAACAGGAAGTAATCGCATGTTGTTTTAAAGTTTTCTTTTCGGTTTTGGTCAGCACTTTTTTTATGCAATCAATGTACAAACAGTAATGGCAATGCAGTGTAGGCTTGTTTACTTAACACAAACCGAAGCAGTCGGTAAATTCGAGTAACCATATCAAAAATAATAACAATAATAATAATAATAATAATAATAATACAGAAAGGGGGTGTTAGGGGAGACACAATCACTCCCTAGTATCTTTCAAACCATTTTCATAAATTAGTTTTACTAACTTTTTGGCATTTTTCTTTTTCATGCACTCTAAGGTACCAAAATAGTACATGAGCGTAAAAAGTAAAAAAAAGTAAAAAGATGATGTTGTTTTCATATACCTTTCTTTATGCATGAAACATTTTCCTAACAATAAAATAACATTTTCAATCATTTCAGAATCTGTGTCTCGGAAAAGCATTCCATATATATTATCTGCCTTTGTAAACTCACTTAAACCCACAATCTTTGGGTATAACCAATAATGTAAATCATCCCAAAATGTGTTCAAGTACTTACAAGAAACAAATAAATGCTCAGTTGTTTCAATATCTTGTTTACAGAAAGCACAAACATTTTAATCCAAATTAAACCTTTGTCTCAGAAATTCTTTAGATGGATATATTCCATTCATTATTTTGAAAATAACTTCCTTAGCCCACTAAGGGCTTCTACACATTACAAACATAGCTTGTGGAACTGCCTTAATGACAGTATCATATTGTTTGCGATTATAAATCAAGTTAAAGTCCTTGCAAAAATCTTCATAAGACCTAACATTACCATTTGAATCTAAAAAATGTAATGTTGACCATATTCCCTTTTCAAAACATTCGGAAATGAACAGTGATTTGAATCTTTAAGTAATACATCTATTGTTCCAGATTAGAGTATTATGATGTGTGAAATTGTGACTGTAGATCATTTTCCAATATAACAGAACCTGTTGGTGGAATAAGGACAATTCAATAGGTAATTTTTTTCCAATTAAAATCACATTTCAACATAAAATCAATTCCACCAAGCTTCTTGAAAATTTCTCTGGGAATATGAAACCAAAAGCTGTCGCAGTCTGTAACAAAAGATTTTAACCAATTGATTTTCAGTGTTCCATTAGTTTTTTTTTTTTTTTAAATAGACCTTTGTTGATGTTTTTCTGTCATAAACACAGAGTGATCGGAATTACGCTGTAGGCTGGATGGGCGGGGCTAAACTGCTGTAGGCTGGATGGGCGGGGCCAAACTGCTGTTGCTAAGTGGGTGGGGCCAAACTGCAGTAGGCTGAATAGGTCGAGCTAAACGGATGTAGGCTAAATGGGTGGGGCTTAACTGTTGCAGGCTGAATGCGTGGGGCTAAACTGCTGTAGGCGGAATGGGCGGGGCTAAATGGCTGTAGGCTAAATGGGTGGGGCTAAACTGCTGTAGGTAGAATGGGCGGGGCTAGACTGTGCCTGACTGTATGTACTGCAGACTAAACAATAGGCTTTGAAACTTTAACAGTGTTTACATACGATATCAAACTGAGGTCTTTTTCGATGATTCGGGCTCTTTAAGTCCAAGTTCAAACCTGTCCAGCAGGACAGGAGGTGAAGGACGTTCTTAATGCAGAACTCTCATTTTTCTTTTTATTCTTTGTTTGTACTATTTTATTGCTATTTTAATATGTGTGAAAGAAGATTTTCCCAGCAACTCCAGCTCACCCGCACAGGTGTGCGCTCTCCTGATCGCGGTCACCTGACTGAGTTCCAGGCTGTTTCATTAGTAATGATGGCTCTCAGGTGTGCAGATGGTCTACAGCACTGGGGCTCGCGCACTGGCTTTCTGTGTTCATCCTCCCTTTATTTGTTTATTTATGTTTTTCTGCCTGTTTTCTCATTACTGCCCTCTTAAATGTCTCTGAAATTGTTTATAAACATCGACCTCGTTCCACTTCCAGTGTAGAGTTCTCCTAAATTGCTTTGGAACAGCAGGCCTCGACACTCAGAGTCATGTAAGTAGAACCTGAATCTGAACCTGAACCTGAACATGATGATAAACAGGAGTTGCTGCGCGCTGGGTGTCTTTAAATGAAAATGGATGATATTTTCAGAGTTTTTAATTTGCTGGTAAATTTGGTGGTGTTTGCGTGGACGTTGTTTTTGTTCCTTCCTGTATTCGGTCTCCACAAGGCACAAATGTTCTAAATTACACCTGTATTCGGACAGAACGCACACATAATTGGGCTAATTGGGCGTTTGAGCTGACAGTGTTTAACTGCACCCATATTCTGTCAAAACGCACCCATATTCCGGATAAACAACCCGTATTCGGGTTTAGCACCCGTATCCCGGCTAAACACACGCGTATTGGTAATTGCCCTACTATTGGTGGACTGCAGGCCTTCTAGCCAATCAGAGCACAGGAGTTGTGACACTCCTATCAAATCCCAACGCAAGAAGCAACAACTTCACACGCACAAGCTGAGACACATCAACCAATCCCAGCGCAAGAGGCGTGGTCTTGCCAGAATACAGGTGCGAAAACAAAATACCCACCGCGGTTTTTCCTCTCCTTCTAATTTAAAGCCAAACAGGGAAACGGAGCGCGAGCTGCAATTTGACGAGCTCAATGTTCAGGAGAATTGTCACGCGCGGAAACCAAAGATAAACTCTGAAAAGGTGTGTGTGTGTGGAGTGAAACATCGAGAGCGCGCGGAGTGTGTGAGTTGAGGAGTGTTTGAGGTTTTTTGGTGAGGAGCTTCTTGATGCCCAACAGATTCTCTCAGACACGGAGCTGCTGATCGGAGTCCGCGGCCATGGGGTGAGTGACGGCCTCAACTTACTCTGATTATCCTGCTGCTTATTCTCCTTTTCAGTTCCACCTTAAACGGTCACTTTCAGGCCGGTGAGCCGCCAGCGTGTACCTGCTGCGCCGTTTAAGGTGGACCTGCGGACCGGAGCCAGAACGAGGGGAAAGTTAGTTTATGGTGTGGACTTTGGCTGTGAGCTGTCAGTCCGCTCGCGCTCTGTCGCCTCGCCATGTTTAAGAACAGCAGAGCTGCAGGAGTGAGTGTGTAGGAGGAACAGAGCTGCTGAATCAGAGCTGAGCAGAGGAGATGATGGTCTACAGGATCTTATTCCCGCTGGGCTTATTGTGTTAAATTAGCATCTCCACAGTCATCTTAATGTAGCTCTGCACAGGTGACAAATACAACTCTGAGTGGATCAGACTGGAGAGGAGGTTATAGGGGGTCACTATAGGCAGTATTGGTGGGTTCTGGATGGGTTTGAGAGGTTTTTGTGGTTTATTGGTGGGCTCTCCATGGTTTCTGAGGTTTTTGTGGTAATATGATGAATTGATAGTAGATTTCTGTAAAAAGTGTGGGTTATTGGTGAGATTGTGAAATTTTTGTGGGATTCTTGTGGGTTCTCTATGGGGTTGTGAGGTTTTTGTAGCCATTGGTGGGTTCTCTATGGTTTGTGAGGTTTTGTGGGTTATTTGTGGGTTCTCTATGGGCTTCTGAGGTTTTTGTGGAACTGAGGTGGATTGACAGAAGGTTTCTGTAGAAAATGTGGATTATTGGTGGATTTTACATTTTTGTTGGATTCTTGTGGGTTCTTGGGTTTGTGGGTTTTTTGTGGGCCATTGGTTGGTTCTCGATGGGTTTGTGAGGTTTTTGTGGGCCGTTGGTTGGTTCCCTATGGGTTTGTGAGGTTTTTGTGGGCCGTTGGTTGGTTCCCTATGGGTTTATGAGGTTTTTGTGGGCCGTTGGTTGGTCCTTGATGTGTTTATATGGTTTTTGTGGGTTATTTGTGCATTCTTGATGGGTTTTTGTGTGTTATTGGCAGGTCATTGATGGGTTTGTGAGGTTTTTTTTTTTGTTGTTGTTGAAACGTGGTAGGTTCATAGTAGGTTTGTGTAAAGAATGTGAGTTATTGGTGGGTTTGTAGCATGTGGAACTGTTGTGGGTTCTTAATTGGCTTGTGCAGGTTTATCGCTGGGTTCTTATTGGATTCTTGCCATTATTGCGAGATTGGATGTGTTATTGGTGGCAGTTCTTGTGGGTTATTGGCAGGGTTGTTGGTGGGTGTGCGAGTGTTATTGTGGGGTTGATGGAGTTTGGTGTTGTTGGACTTTGGAATGTTTTGGTAAGGTTGATGTGGTGTTGGTGGTTTGGTGGTGGTGAAGTTGTGTTAATGTGTTCGCTGCTGGGTTTTATTTAGAGTTTTGTTGGATTTTATGAGTTGTGTGTGTGTGTGTGTATATATATGATTTCAGCTGGCTGTGCTGGGTCTGTGGTGTTATTATTGGGTTTTGGCTCATTTTGGGATTATGTAAGATTGTGTGACTGTGGTGAGGCAGGTGGAAGCAGTAGACCAAACGCAGTTAGGTGCTGTTACAACTGTAATGTAGCCGCAGATGCAGATTTTGTGTGCGTGTTGTATGTTTATATGTGTATATGTTTCTTAATATCAGAGGCACTAAAGACTTTAGAATGATCTGGGCTCTGTGTGTGTGTGTGTGTGTGTGTGTGTGTGTGTGTGTGTGTGTGTGTGTGAGACACTGTAGTTGACCCAGAGGCCTCAGGAATGCCGCGCTGCCACAGCCAGAACAAAAAGATACACACAGTGGTCTAGCACAGCAGCCTCTGACGCTCAGCCGTGTAAAACCGGTCTGAGTTCTGTTGATCTTAATCAGGTTCCTGTTGGAGTTCCAGCTTCACTAAACTTGCAAACACAGCCGGTTCACTCGATAACTTTCTCTGATGGTCTGATTTAGATTCTCACATTGTGGATTGAAACTGTGAACATGAAAGTGTGACGTTTATGATGAACAGTCAGTCAGGTTAAACACGAGGAGCTGAGCAGTGTGTTTCTCAAAGAAAAGAAGTCATACGTGAACATGTATAAAGTTTTTATAAACTGTATAAAGCAGTTCTGTCAGACACTGTTAGTGTTTATTACAGTAATAACTGGTTTATAATCTTCATTTCTATGTAGTGTGATCAGTTCACTGTCCCTGGTGGGCCAGAAGCTCAGCCTGGTTGGTCAGAGGGCCACCCCGATTGGTCAGAAGGCTACCCCTGATTGGTCAGAATGCCACCCCTGATTGGTCATTGTTTAAAGAGCTGTGTATAATCTGTAACCTCAGCCGGAAACTCAGCCGGCCCTGGAGCGTGTTAGTCGTGCAGCATACGTTGCCATGGTGATACAGCTGGTAAAATGTGATCCTGTCATAAGACAGAAAATCCAGGATTAGATTAAACTAAGCTTAAAGTTAGCTGGATAAGCAAGAGATCCTGCTTTGTGAGACGGAGCGCTGACCAACCCAGAATCTTACTGACCACGCCAGAGTTTGTCAAACCACACCTGTTTTCAGGATAAACAACACCCATATTCTGACAGGGCCTCTCCTATTGACAGACCTCTTGTGTAAGACCACTGTGTGTGCGTGTGTGGTTGTGTGTGGAGCCTGTCCGACGTTCTGCAGCCTGTCAGACCAGTCTGAGGAGTCTCAGCTTACGCAACACGCACACACACCTTTCTGTCACAATCTACACTACAGTTCACTATGTCACACACACAGAGCATTCATGAAACACAATTTTAGGAGTCTGATGTTATTTAAGACATTTAAAGTGACCATGAGGTGACAAATATAAGATTTACTGTTATAATGTATATGTATGTATGTACATTTCAATGCTGATATATATAAAACCTTTGACAAAGGACGTATGGTCTCTGCTCACAGAATGCAGTATGAATGCAAAGTTATAAAAAAAAAAAAAAATTGAAATAGCAGCCAAAGAGAAACGCAAGTCTTCCTAAAAATATACATATAAAAGTAAAGGCACAATACACATAATGTACTTATGCTGTATTTAAAATTGACTAAAATATACAGTGGTACGTATAGGCTGAGACTGGGTTATTCAGATTTTATTGTACAAACTATCGCTTTAATGGTGTGTTGGTGTAGTTTTGTCCTGGTCACGAGGTGCTGTGGAAGTTAATAATACACCGAAGGTATTTAAAGCATCCTGCAGCTGGGTCTGCTCAGATTCCTCTGCTCAACAGGTGGAAATCGGGCGCAGGGAATTCAGAAAAGTCCAAATCCTTGCGCTGTTTAAAGAAAATCAGAGTATTTAAATCAGGGTTCAGTATTTAAACATTAACATTTCCGTACAGACCACATATAGAAACTGAACTGCAGAGAGTCCATTCACCACAAAAAAGCTTGTGTATATATATATATATGCATATACCATTCAGCCTAACACAGTTTAGCCCTGCCCCTTTACACTGAAGTCCTGCATTTTTTATGAGGCACAATACAGGACAGGCTATAAGAACAAAGCTCATTTACATATATCAGTTTTAAAGGTGCAGTTTAATTGTAAGGGGTAAAGAGAGGCAAAAAAAATCATGAAGAAATTAATTATATGATGTTTTTCATACATAAAACCAAACGTGTAGAAACAGCAGTATTTCCTGTTATTGTGTAACACAGCACTGCATTTATGTATGTATGTATGTATGTATTTATTTATTTATTTATCACGCTGAACACTCATTTCCTGCTGTGCTGATGAAGCTGTGAAGCTGATTGGTCAGTATTGATCAGTGATTGTTTTTCCTGCAGTGTGTCAGGCCTCAGGCTGCTTCAGTGAGACAAGCTTATAGATTAACTTCACACACACACACGCACACACAGGGGCCTAACGATGGCGTAACACTGTGAACGTTTGGGTGTTGATCTTTAAACATATTTTAGAAATGTATGAAAATGTAGGTTTTATCTCACAACAAGAGTTTCAGCCTAAATGTGCAGAAGTTTTCATGGTGTGTGTGTGTGTGCGTGGTTATTTAAAGGTGTTTTGAAGCTCCTCCCAGTCTCGCCTTAAAGTCTGCGGCACTAAACGGCTTATTGGTGCTGAGAGCATCAGAGCACGCCTGAACTCAGCAGAGCACCCACATAGGAGAGTGTATGTGTGTGTGACAGAGAGAGAGTGTGCATGTTGGGATGTTGGGTAGTTAAAGGCTGGTAAATGATAGGGCAGAGCTGTGTTACAGATGGAGCTGCTGACCATCTGCTGCTGTCCTGCAGAGCCTGAGCTGATTATGCAACCACAGAGCCTATAGACCACCATTCATGTGATTATTCACTCAGACCACTGTTAATGGGATTATACCCTCACGGTGCAGCTGTAGACCACCATTCACCTGACTATACACACACAAGTCGTACAGACCACTATTTATCATATTATGCTAGAACCTATAGACCACCTTTCATCTGACTATACACACACAAGTCGTGCAGATCGCTATTTATCATATTATGCTCAGAACATATAGACCACTATTCATCTAACTATACACTCACAAGTCGTACAGACCACTCATAATACGCTCAGAACCTACAGACCATCTGATTATACACCCACTGAATCTACAGACTGCCATTCATTTGTGTATACAGAAACAGAACCTGTAGGCCACCATTTATCTGATTATACATCCACAGTGTCTCTAGGCCACCATTCGTCTTAGAATATCCTCAGACCACTGATCATGTGATTATAGCCTCACAGACCATCACTCATTTGATTATGCACCCGCAGCATCTATAGATCTCCATTCATCTAATTATACACCCACTGAGTCTATAGACCACCATTCATCTGATTATACACCCACAGAGTCTACTGACTGGAGTCTTAAAGTTTGTGATGTGAGAAAGTTAATGTTCTGTGTGTAACTGTGTATGAGGAGCTGATGCTGTCTGTTTATTTAAAGAGTTGAGCGAGTGCATCAGTAAATATTTTCATATTTAGTGCTGTTATTTGAAAGCATCTGTTTTGCTGCATCTGAACGAGTTTAGAGTGATTGTTTCTGGACATTTGTAATGTGTGGTGGATGTTTGTCCACACTCCTTTCAGCTGTTCTTCCTTACAGTTACTTTTGGCTATTGACACATGCAGCACTGTCCTGTGAATAAAGCTGTCTGTATACAGTGTAGTCCTGATAAACATGCCAGTCCTGGATAAAGACTCCTGAGTGTGTTGGTGTTTTAGATGTTTAAATGGACACCTGTGATGTGCTGGACGCTCTGAGTGCGTAAGTGCTGTAAAAAGTGCTGCGTTGTTATGTGTCCCTGTAGTTTTACATCAGCTGTTTTTGTGCAAAAGCTTCAGGATGGAAATGTATTTTTGGTACCAAGATGGCAAGGTTGCAATGAGTACCTAATGCTAACACTGACCTTAGACCTAGAGAATAAATGAACATCAAAACATAAACAAATAGCATATGTAACGTCTGAAGTTATTAATGACTTTAAAAGTGTATGTAGATCAGAGCTAATAATGTATCTCGTAAACCTGCGGTGATGTCCTGATGTTGTGATGATAGCTGATGTTGGTCAGACACCCTTACTAGCTGGTCAGTCTCCACTCGGGACCTGACCAGGTGGGCGGACAAACAGGCCAAACAATGCGGCCGTACCTGTTGTTCCAAAACTAGCCTTCAGGCCGTAATGATGTCCCGTGGTTTTGGAACAGCAGGTACGACTGCATTGTTTTATCACTCTCTCAAGGAATTCCAGACGTGTTCTGGATGGTTTTGTTGTGACACAGTGAGGATGGGCCTCTGTTTTTTGTTTATGAAGGATGTTTCACAGAGAGCTAGAGCCAGGCTGGGCAGGTGGAGGGGAACTCCTCAAGATGGCATGAGGAAGGAGCCTGAGGAGGAACTCAAGCTCTGAGGGTAACTCGTACTCCTCTGGAGTTGATGGGTGAAGGAGTTGGACGTGGGTAATGTGTTTCTACACCGTGTAGCTCCTTCTTTCTGTGGGAGATGAGAGTTAGGTGACCACTTCAGTGTTTGTGGTGACTGTTGTGTTCAGCATTTGGTTCTGGCTGTTTTCACATTACCAGTTTTATTGCTCAGTTGTAGTTTTCTGCTCTGCTCTGATCTTTCTGAGCCATGTATCAGATCTGTATCTGATCAAGAAGCCTGTATGAAAGTGGATCAAATCTGATTTAAAAAGAACTCTTTTTTTACATTTAGGCAAAGGTCACACAGATGTGGAATCAGTTTTCCTCCACCTGCTGAGTCTGGTCAGTCCACAGCTGCAATAATTAATCAACAAAGTTAATTTGTCATGCATGACACACAACATGGAAAAAAGTCAATGGGTCACCACTTTCATATGATCCACACAGTCATTCTGACAGACTGTAATGCACTACAGTCTTAAAATCGGTAGCCATGATAACAGCCAAGCAATGTTGCTCCTTGCTCGTGCATGAACAGTCACCTCTAACTTTGAGTGGATTACTTTATTTGATTTGTTATTAAAGCAGGAAGCTGATTTTACATTGAGGAGTTTGAAATGCCAGTTCAGCCCATTAAGAGTAAATAATGTTATTTATATTGTGATTTTGGCTGATGGAAAATTCAGGAAATGTTCTAGTGAGGATCATGTGTTCGTTTGGCACAGATAATGTGAACTTTTAAAAAATTGAATATCGTCATTAGATGAAGCTGACTGTAAAGAACTCTCAATCATGTACAGGCCTAAATTGAATGATCTCCAGTGGAATGGAAGTCTATGGAGAAACAGGCTTTTTATCAGACTGGATTTATATCATTTGACCACTAGAGCAAGCCGACCATGCTCAACCATCCAAGCCCCGCCCACTTGGTTGCAGGTCCAGAACAAGGGTCAGCTCCGGCTGTCAGGAGGGCAGCGTCCAGGCGGACTAAGCGGCCTGCCGGCTGCGCAAACGGCACTCTGGGTAAATCAGATTAGAGTTGGGGTTGAGATTAGGATTAATGAGGACAGAGTGGGTTTGATTTCTCTGAGGTGTGTAATCTCTTATTAATCTTTTATTAATCTTTTATTAGCTCAGACTGACTGCAGTCTCTCTCTCACACACACACACACACACACACACACACACACACACACACAGCTAAAGGTCAGTCAGGGTCACTGCAAACACACACTGAGAGGGACAGTTTGGACAGTCATATCCCAGAGATCCTTTCTGCTTTTGGGGTCAGATCAGTGTATATACATTAATCTTAATGCTGGATTGTAAAGATTAATTAAATTATTTCATGACTTCTCAGCTCAAAGCTGCTGGACTCAGAACTGCCTTCAGAACTGTGTGTGTGTGTGTATCACTTTAATACTGAACTGATAGGTGACTTTTTTTTGTGAGATGTAAAAACAATACAACTTCATTAAGCCAGATTAATTTTATACTCAAATTTCTAAAATAGTAACATTAGTAATAATACCCAAACCACAACAAAGTTGTTGTTGTTCTTATTATTGTTATTATTATTATTACTAATTATTATTATTATTATTAGTAGTAGTAGTAGTAGTAGTAGTAGGAAAAACACTAAAGGAGGTGTGAAGTGTACAACCATTGAAAAGGGGAATTGAACCAATTGTTGTAAATTTCTCCACAATTAAATGGTCAATATTGGGCCTATCATACAAATAAAACAGTTAATCACAATCACATTAGCTTTTGTTGCTGAATTTTCCTATTTGCTCTAATTTGACCTATAAATAAAGATTTGGTCCATTTATAAAGACACGCATTGTTTTATGTACAGTCAATGAGTGTATATATTATATATACAGTCAATAAGTGAAATGCTCTGTTCTACATAAACTTAGTGTCATAATTGTTCACAGTGGTGGTAATATGAACCAGACATCCACCTCTAAAAGCTCCCACACAAAGTTATTACATGAAATGGTTATTAATACACTGCCTGATGTCTGAGACACTGTTTTACGATAGTTTTGAGAACTTGACTCTGGTTCAGTCCCAGCTGTTAGCATCCCACTGTCAGCATCCCGCTAACACCACTGTGCAGAGCAGTCTGGAATTAGGAACATGTATTCTGAAAAACAGAACTGAACTGGTTTATAATGTGGGGTTTTCTAACAGTTAAATAAACAGCAGCGAATAAAAACTACAGGTTAACTGAACGATTATTGCAACGTCCAAACAAGGCTTTCTTTAAGACAGAGTATGAGGACTCAAAACATCAAGTGCTCATCAATACAACCATGATTTCCACAGAAATACTAAACTATCTCACTTGTATGATGTGATCTGCTAAAAGGTCAGAAATGTCCAGCACCCATTACAACCACCAACCATTCTCTCCCTCTTTCTCTCTTTCTCTCTCTCTCAGGGAGCAGCCGATCTTTACCACCAGGGCCCATGTGTTCCAGATTGATCCCACCACCAAAAAGAACTGGGTTCCTGCCAGTAAACAGGCCGTCACCGTCTCGTACTTCTACGACAGCACACGCAACAGCTACCGCATTATCAGCGTGGATGGATCTAAGGTCAGTTCAGTTGGAATGTGTTGAATTGAATGTACTTGATTGTCCCTGAGAGGACGTTTGTTTTTTGGGTGCTGTTTACTCTCATAAGCCTGATTTCTGCCACTTTCTGACAGCCTGATGTGTTTTACTCAACTTGGCCCCCAGCGGCCTACTTTAACAGAAAGGGGCTGTTTGATGGGCAAGCAAAACCAGCCAGAGACCATGAATCGTTATTTTCATGTCTGGCTTGCACACGCAGTCCACACCAGAGTTTGAGTTTTTGTGAGATTTTTTTCCGTTTCATCTGGCTTCACACTGCAGCATCTAAAGTATAAATTACACACGTAGGTTTTTATCGATCTGAGATTTTGCAGCAATACAAAGACTCTGTCTTTGCATTTGACTCCATAAAATTTAAAAAATAGAAAATACTCTGAAAAAGCTTAAAGACAACAAGAAAGTACAAAATATTACCTTTACACACGGTCGTATACACCGTCACAGTGTGTCTCAGCTCCGACAGTCTAAACATGACACATTTAAGACGTCTCTGAACATGTTTATAAAACATCATTGTAAGATTTTACATCTGTGTTTATTGTAAAACTGCACATGCAGCTGTTTCAGTGAGTTTATGGTGTAAATATGAAGAGTATCTTCCTGAAAAAGTCACTGTGATATGCGTTTTCTTTATCGGTTCACTCTGTACTCGTCTACCGTTTCTGTCAGATTTTCATCAGCGCCAGCTTTAACCCTCGCAGCCCACAGTTACTGTATATTCAATTTGCATTACATATTAATGCAATTATTTTTACATAATATTATTAATTAAACAGTTAAACATCCTGACAGACGTGTGTTATGGTGAATAACTTCAGCGTCCTGTCGCTTGAACACAACAGTTCTGCAAAAAAAAAGGCAAAAGTGAAGCAAAGTCACCTTTATTTCTGTAGCACATTTAAAAGACTGGTCAAAACTGCACAACACTTTCAAATAAATATCCTGCATATAAAAAAAATCAATTGAAAAACAATGAAACAGAGCAGAAGAGCTGCTGATGGCAGGACACAACAGAAAGACAGACTTTAACAGGACTCAGGAAATCCTGAACACTGTATCAGTGAGCTTTAATACTGACAGCTCCTTCCTGCTCATAAAGTAGTCCCCTTTAATGTTATAGAGCTGTTAAACTGAGTGAATATCAGGTTGAGCATTTTCAGTGTTTTCCAGCTGAATGTTATTCAGTTCCCATCAGTCTGTAAAGCGTTACTGTTAAAATTTTTTTAGTGTGTCTGTTTTCTGTTTCTGTTTGTGCTGAAGTAGAAACTAACGATGTGTTCAGAATCACTCCCTATTACAGAAATGATGCACTATATAGTGTGGCAGCCATTTTGTAGAGTTGGTCGAAATCTCAACTGTAAATTTCATCCCTTTTATACCCATACTGCATCGCCAATTTTAGTGTGCATGCGTTGTACCATACCAGAATGCAATGGTGGCTTAATAAGGCAGTAGAAGCAGAAGCTGTGAGAGTTTGAAGTGACACATGGACAGTGGAGGGCACTAAACACCAATTTACATACAAATGCAAGTCGATATTATTTCAACTAACAAAAATAATGATGCTTACATCAGTGAGTAGGCAATACATTAAATCTGTCTGTAAAGCTGTTTAAACTTTTAGAGGCACAGACTGACTGAATTTATCACAGCTGGTGAGCTAGTTTGCATATTGCTCACCCTAGTTTTACATCCACGCCCCCCGATGGTCAAAATAGCTACAGCTGTGAAGCAGCAGCTAGTGTTATTCACAATCCTGAATGTCTCTGTGGTGTTTTGCCCTCAATAATTTTAGCTGCTCATAATAAACGCCTCTTAAAAACCAAGCTGAATATAAACAGAAAGAATTAAGCATCTCCAATTTCTGAATTGTTATTAATTAAACACTCATTAAAAGATAACAGAAGCTTAAGCTGAGTTTTTAATCTTCTGCTCTGAGAGATGCTGAAAGATTTCTGAAGTGAGATGAGAGCTTTATGCGTTTTTCTTATTTATGTATTATTCAAACAATGAGTAGCAAAACAGACACAGGGAACATTTTTTTTTAATTATTTTAAAACAGCAACTATTAAGTCTTTAAACCTTCTTCTACATGATTCTGTTTTAATTGTTTATTTTCAACTTGGTGTGTAAACATCTTAATCACAGCTTGTATTTTCCAAAATCACTAATACAAGTTAACAGTTTTCAGGGCTGTGTGTTTGATTCCTTTGTGACAATTTTTTTATGGAACGGTGTTTCCAAAAAGTCTTTTGGTTGCTTCCTAGTTAGTTCACTATAGCAAGTTTTCCCATCCAGTTTTTTGCGAAGTTTGAATATGCGCAAAACAAAAAACCTGAAAGGAAAAAGCAAGAAATTTGAAAAAACATCCAAACATCACAAAAAGTGGAATATTGCTAAAATCGAAATGTGAAAAAGGGGTGATGGGAAAAGGGATTTTCAAATAAACAGTGATGTATAAGCTGTTTCTAAAGTTTGTTCTTAAATGTGTTCTTGAGAAGGGTCATAAAGTCTGCGTCATTCATGACATGTTCTTAAAGCGCAGAACTGTTCTCACCTTTGTCCTTGTGAGTCTGTGTAGATTCTCTTCTTACCTAAGAGCAAATCCCAAATAAGAAAACATGGGTGAATGTCAGAATCTTCATCAAAACTGCGTAAGTGGGTTTAAAAAGGAAATTTCTTCTTAAGAACGGTTGGAAAATGAAGCCTAATGTGCTCCAGAACTGTCAAGTGCATTTATGTTCCCAGATGTGAGGTGGACATCATCGGGGGGGGCCCAGAGATTTCAACTCTCATTAGGTGGCTACTGCTTGTCCTGTCCAGCGTCTCTGAGCTGCAAATAACCATAAAAAGACAGCAGGCGGCTGTAAAGATGAGTCTACGTAAAACAGAGACTGAGTTAAATCTCTCAGTCTTGCTCATTTTGATGCCCCTAATCACGGTAGCTGCGCCATTGAAAGTTTCTTCACAGAACTGAAGTGGATGGAAACGCACAATTTTGGAAATGCACATAACATTTGCGATACGTTTGAATGGAAACCCCCTATCTAGTGACTGCTATAGAGTAAATAGTGAACAAGTTAATTAGGGAATCTTTCCAAACGCAGCTTTAGTAATGATTAGCTGCGTAAAACAGTTACCTAGCAAGAGCTCAGTGGACTAATAGTTATCAAGGTTGAATGATCGAGTTATCACAAGAACACAGAACATTTTTAATGCTAAGTGTTGATGTCTGTTAAACACAGTTTTGTTTTTATATTGTTATTATTTATTTATATTATGTTATTACACCATAGTACAGTTAACAGTTTTCACATTTAGGTAAACCATTATATAAATCCTGATCTCCTGATCTTAGGCCTAATATCAGCACTGGTCTAATGTAAATCTGAGCTGCAGCAGTTTTTACAGTGCATGCGCGCACACACACACACACACACACTCACACACACACACACACACACACACACACACACACACACAGCAGGACCTGTGTGGAATAATCATTGACACCTTAAAGACTGTCACACACACTCACAGCTTGGCTAAATAAAGACCACTTCACTCTTAAATCACCGCAGCAAAGAAGAATTAACACATACACAATGGAACGCACAAGCATTATAATTTAATGTATATAATATTGTATGTAGTATAAATTATAGTATTAGTATTGATGTGTTCTATAGCTCTGTGTAGTGATCTGTACCACCAGCTGTGTTCTATAGCTGTGTGTAATTATCTGTAGTAGTGTCTTATGTAACTGTGTAGTGATCTGCAGTAGCGAGTTCTATAGCTGAAGTGATCTGTAGTAGTAAGTAGGTTCTATAGCTTTAGTAAGCTCTAGTAGTGAGTGGGTTCTATAGCTGTAGTGGCGAGTGGGTTCTGTAGCTGTAGTGAGCTGCAGTAGTGAATGTGTTCTATAGCAGTGTGTAGTGATCTGTAGTAGTGTCATATAGCTTTGTGTAGTGATCTGTAGTAGCGAGTTTGTTCTATAGCTGAAGTGATCTCTAGTAGTAAGTAGGTTCTATAGCTTTAGTAAGCTCTAGTAGTGAGTGGGTTCTATAGCTGTAGTGAGCTGTAGCAGCGAGTGGGTTCTATAGCTGTAGTGAGCTGCAGTAGTGAATGTGTTCTATAGCAGTGTGTAGTGATCTGTAGTAGCGAGTTTGTTCTATAGCTGAAGTGATCTGTAGTAGTAAGTAGGTTCCATAGCTTTAGTAAGCTCTAGTAGTGAGTGGGTTCTCTAGCTGTCGTGAGCTGTAGTAGCGAGTGGGTTCTATAACTCCAAGTAGTAAGCTGTGGTGATCTGTAGTAGTGAGTGGGTTCTAAAGCTGTAGTGAGCTGTAGTAGCAAGTGAGTTCCATAGCTATAGCAGTGACCAGGATGTATAGCTCTGTGTAGTGATCTCTAGTAGCAAGTGGGTTTTATAGCTCTGTGTAGTGATCTATACTAGCGAGTGGGTTTTTTAGCTCAATGTAGTGATCTATAGTAGCGAGTGAGTTCTATAGCTGTATGTAGTGATCTGTAGCGGCGAGTTTTCTGTAGCTGTGTATAGTGATCTGTAGCGGCAAGTGTGTGTTCTGTAGCTGTGTGTAGTAATTTGTAGTAGTGAGTGTTTGTTCTGTAGCTGTGTGTAGTGATCTGTTGTAGCGAGTGGGTTCTCTAGCTATGTGTAGTGATCTGCAGTAGCGAGTGGGTTCTCTAGCTGTGTGTAGTGATCTGTAGTAGTGAGTGTGGGTTCTATAGCTCTGTGTACTGATCTATAGTAGTGAGTGTTCTAAAGCCGTGTGTGGTGATCTGTAATAGCAAGTGTGTTCTCTAGCTTTGTGTAGTAATTTGTAGTAGCGAGTGTATGTTCTGTAGCTGTGTGTAGTGGTCTGTAGTAGTGAGTGTGGGTTCTATAGCTCTGTAGTGTTCTGTAGTAGTGTGTGTTCTCTAGCTTTGTGTAGTGACCTGTAGTAGTGAGTGGGTTTTATAGCTTTGTGTAGTGATCTGTAATAGTGAGTGTTCTAAAGCTGTGTGTGATGATCTGTAGTAGTGAGTGTTATGTAGCTGTGTGTGGTGATCTGTAGTAGCGAGTGTGTGTTCTGTAGCTGTGTGTAGTAATTTGTAGTTGCAAGTGTGTGTTCTGTAGCTGTGTGTAGTGAGCTGTAGTAGCACATGGGTTCTATAGCTGTAGTGATCTGTGGCAGCGAGTGGGTTGTATAGCTGTATGTAGTGATCTGCAGTAGCAAATGTGTTCTATAGCTCTGTTTAGTGATCACTGATCTGTAGTCGTGAGGGGGTTCTATAGTGCAGTGTGCTGATCTGCAGTAGCGAGTGGGTTCTATAGCTCTGTGCAGTGATCTGTAGTCATAGTCGGCTGTAAAGCTGTGTGTAGAGATCTGTAAAATTGAGGAGGTTCTATAGTTGTATAGTGATCTGTAGTATTGAGTGTGTTCTATAGCTCTGTGTAATGTTGTGTAGTAACGAATGTGTCCTATAGCTCTGTGTAGTGATCTGCAGTAGCAAATGTGTTCTGTAGCTGTGTAGTGATCTGCAGTAGCAAGTCTGTTCTATAGCTCTGTGTAGTGATCTGTAGCAGCGAGGGGGTTCTATAGTGTTGTGTGCTGATCTGCAGTAGCGAGTGGGCTCTTTAGCTCTTTGTAGTGACCTGCAGTAGCGAGTGGGTTCTATAGCTCTGTGTAGTGTTCTGTAGCAGCGAGTGGGTTGTATAGCTGTGTAGTGATCTGTAGCAGTGAGTGTGTTCTATAGCTGTGTAGTGATCTGCAGTATTGAGTGTGTTCTATAGCTGTGTGTAGTGATCTGTAGTAGTGAGTGGGTTCTATAGCTCTGTGTAGTGATCTGTAGTAGTGAGTGTGTTCTAAAGCTGTAGTAATCTGTAGTAGCAAGTATTTGTTCTATACCTGTGTGTAGTGATCTGTAGTAGTGAGTAGGTTCTATATCTGTAGTGATATGTAGTAGCAACTGGGTTTTATAGCTGTAGTGATCTGTAGTAGTGAGTGTGGGTTCTATCGTTGTGTGTGTGTAGTGATCCGACGTAGCAAGTGTGTGTTCTGTAGCTCTGTGTAGTGACATGTAGTATTGAGTTTGTGTTCTACATGAGCCCTCTCAAGCTATAACCAGCCCCCACTGGAATGACATTCTGGCTTTGCCACTGATGTACAGTCTTGAGTGGAGTTCTGTACTGACATGTTCTTTGTTTTTGATCCGGCAGTAAATAGCATTAGGCTTTAAGGAACACTGTGGGTGAAGTTCACAGAGATTATTAACCACTGTGTTTTAAATGTGTGGTCTCTAACTAATACTGTGTGAAAGCCATGATGATGATGTTTGGACATCGAGCCACTTCCTTTTCCAGCACCCATGTAAAGCTTCTAAACACTCGCTGTATGTGTGTATAAGGTGTGTGTGTATGTGTGTGTGTTTAAGGTTGTGTTCTCTGAGGATTTTGAGCGGATGTGCCCTCCCTCTGTGCTGCGTTTACGTTCTGGGTTGCCATGGAGAAATGTCCCTCTGTGTGGGCACAGGCCTGCTGATGTCACACACACACACACACACACACACACACACACACACGTTTACCAAACTGCACATGTTTTTGTGTGTGTGTGTGTAATGCGGTGAGAGGTCCGTATTCAGGAGCAAACTCACACACTCAGCTCTACAGCAGTCACTGTACACCCCCCCCCCAAACACACACACACACACATCTCCTAACAGCACCTGCTGCTCTCACTCTCCCCCGACACACACACACACACACACACAGCCATGCTAATAAATACTCTATTCAACCAAACCGGCATCTCTGCCACAGACATTGCTCCTCAGCAAGAGGTCAGCTGATGGGCCTGATATAGTCGTCCATGTAGCTTGTTTATGGGGTTGAGTCAGAGTCATTGGAGTAGCTGTTGGGTCAGATACAGTAGGGTTGCTATTGAGGGCAGGGTGAATAGAGTCATAGTTGGTTCCAGGTCATTAGGGGCACTATTGAGGTTAAGGTTGTATTGGGGTCTTTTGAGTCATAATTGGATTGGGCTTTTGGGGTTGCTATCAGGCTTAAGGTTGGGTCATAGTCTTTGGGGTTGCCTTTGGGGTCAGGGTCCTTGCGGTCCCCGTTGCGTCAGGGCCTTGCAGTCCCCGTTGCATCAGGGTCCTTGTGGCCCCCGTTTTGTCAGGGTCTTTGCTGGCCTCATTGGGTTGCAGTCCCCATTGGGGTGAGGGCTTGGGTCATTGGAGTCATTGTTAGTATTACAGGGATTTTGTGGTCAGATTTAGGTTGGTTAAGGGTCAGGTTAAAGGTCGGGTTAAGGGTATGGGGTTAGGTTTGTGATGGAGCAGGGGTTGCAACTGGGGTCTCAGTTGGTGTTGGGGCCGTTGACATCATTATTATTGGGGTCCCTGTTGCGTCAGGGTCCTTACAGTCCCCGTTGCATCAGGGTCCTTGCGGCCCCCAGCGCGTCAGCATCCTTGCGGTCCCCAGCGCATCATTGTCCTTGCGGTCCTTGTTTAGTTGCGGTCCCTGTTGGGGTCAGGGTCAGGTCACTGGAGTCATCGTTAGGATCACAGGGATGTTGCAGCTAGATTTAGGTTAGTAAGAGTCGGGTTAAAGGTCGGGTTAAGGGTAGAGGGGTTGGGTTAGGTTTGTAAAAGAACAGGGGTTGCAGCTGGGGTCTCAGTTGGTGTTGGGGTCATTGAGATCCCTGTTATCGGGGTCCCTGTTTGGATCAGGGTCATCGGGGTCCCTGTTGATCTCAGTTCATTTGGTACTTTCTCGCGGCTCCATGCGAGTGCTGTGTTCCTGTGAGTGTGTTGCTCAGATGGTTGGCCGTCACAAACCCTCAGTGCTCTCACTGAAGGTCCCACTGAGAAACGGCCTGTCTCTCTCACACACACACACACTTCCAGCTCTCAGCAGATTAACCAGTGTGTGTGTGTGTGTGTGTGTGTGTGTGTGTGTGTGTGTGTGTGTGTGTGTGTGTGGACATCAGTGAAGTGGAGCCACGGTGTGTAAGCGTTTGACTGGTGTAATGTGGATAAAGTGGATTAAACTTTCAGCCGATTATCCGATTAACCAGCAGAGAGAGAGGATTCCTGTGTGTGTATGTGTGTGTGTGGTGTCATGTTAAATAGTTTGGCTAAAGAGACGTGAGTGTGTTTAGAGATTGATGGAGGTGGTTTTAGTCTTTGATGCTAATTTGTGCTCTTGTCCTACTAGACGTTGCTATGAGATAAGTATCCTAATTATACTGTCTCATCGCTGACTGATTCTGCTATTTCAAGGCTCTCCTGGTGTGTGTGTGTGTGTGTGTGTGTTGCTTTGCTGAAGGCATATTTCTATGTAATCAGTCTCATGAAAGTTCCTGAAAAGTGACTCTAATACTGTTAGAGATGCTGACACTGAACACCTTCAGCCCCGTTTCCACTCTCCGCTCTCCTTCAGTTTTCTGGGTTAATGGCTGCTGGTCATTGTGATGTAACATTTTGTGGGTCAACCATGGAAATATAATTGTCCGAAGAATTGCAACATCAGCTAGGCTAGCACTAACATAGCTAAGCTATCAATAGCATGGTTGTAATACTAGCTATGGCCCCAAGTGACAGAATGGTCTAAGCCCAGGGCACAACCCCAGTTCTGGAGGGCCGGTGTCCAGCACTGTTTCCTAGTTTCTCTACTTAAACACACCCACTAAACCTGGCAATCAACATGTGAGCTAAATCAGGTGCATTTGAGCAGGACAATTATGCCCTTCAGGACCAGAGCTGTGCACCCCTGGTCTAAGCATTGTTGAGAGATCCTGAACTTGATCCCCTGTGATGTCACAGCCATCCATGTCTAGGCGCCCAAGAGACCATAACTGTCTTCTCTCTTTCCCTGGGTGGGTAGGTGGTCCTCCATCTCCCCTATCACTCAGCATGATGCTAGCTGATGCAGGCGTATTTTAGCTGGAGTGACAGAATTAACAGTTAGCATTCTGAAAAAAAGTTAGCTAATGTTCTGCAATGAAAATAACATTTCCATTTTGGAAGACATCATGGTGTATGTTTAATTCGCTACTGCAATGTACCAGATTGTGTTATAGCTACATTTATCTGTAATTTGAGAATTCATCTAATTTCTTATTTATTATATTGTGTGTGTTTAGGTCATCATTAACAGCACCATCACTCCCAACATGACGTTCACTAAAACCTCACAGAAGTTCGGACAGTGGGCCGACAGCCGGGCAAACACAGTGTTTGGCCTGGGCTTTGCTTCAGAGCAACAGCTAACAAAGGTACACACGCACACACTCGCATGCTAAAAGCTGAAATTTTATTTCTGCAAAGATGCACATAAATTGAGAATTTGTAGCGAGAAAAACTGGCGCTCAGTGTCTTTGGGAAGCTTTTGTCTTAGTTTGTATTCCAACCAACCAATCAGTGCTCAGTAGCACTAATGCTAACCAGTCAGCGCTCCGTAGCAGTAATACTAACCAATCAGTGCTCAGTAGCAGTGACGCCAACCAGTCAGCGCCCAGCAGCAGTAATGCTAACCAGTCAGTGCTCAGTAGCTGTAATGCTAACCAATGAGCATTTAGTAGCAGTAATGCTATCCAATCAGCGCTCAGTAGCTGTAATGCTAACCAATGAGCGCTCCGTAGCAGTAATGCTAGCTAATCAGCACTCAGTAGCAGTAATGTTAGCGTTTTGCTGTTTATTGTAGGAAAACAGAAAGCTGCTGGTAAATGTTTTTCACTGTTAAACGGGGTAAAGGTGGCTTTGATGTAAACTTCAAAAGTTTACATTTAGACTGAGAGGTCATGAAGTTGCTCACCTCCAAAATCATGCCTGCACGTGTTTACAGATATATGTCCCAAAAATATAAATCACACACTCAGTGTCTGGCATGAAGTTGTGGTTTCTGATGTTTGGTTTCTGCTGGAACAGTTTGCAGATAAGTTTCAGGAAGTGAAGGAGGCAGCCAAACTCGCCCGAGACAAATCTCAGGAGAAAATGGAGACTTCCAGCAACCACTCACAGGTAAACACACCACACGCATTTATACATTCAGCAGTTTAGTCTTACCCATTCGGCCTGTAGCAGTTTAGCCCCGCCTATTCAGCCTACAGCGGTTTAGCCCCACCCATTCATGCTGAAGTTATAAGAAGTGTTTCAGTTCAGACTTTTTAAATAGTACACAATACAGGACAGCCAATCAGAGCTCATTTACATACATTAGAGGCACAGTAACAAAAACAGCCTGTTCAATTGTCATGGATAAAGAAAGGCTGAAAAATGATCATATAGAAATTATAATAATAATAATTATAATTGTATATTATATTTATATTATATTAGAATTAGAATTGTGACTACTTTTGATACATAAAACCAGACAGGCATTATAAGTGGGCATCTGGGAAGAATTAGAGGAAAAAAGTAGTTTATGGGCTTTTTAATAGTTGAATTTGAGCCTCATGAAGAGATCAGCGCCCCACATACAGCTTCATAATTCGGCTGTATCTGCAGTAATGAGCTGAAAGTGAGGATGGAGCGGAAATTCTGCTGAGCTCAGGGTCACACTCTTCACACACATCGTTACCTCAGTCACTACAGACTTTCTGCTCAGATCAGGAATAGATATCTACATCTGCAGAATCTGTCCACAGGAATTGAATAAATACAAACCTCGATTTTGAACAAGTTAGGACTGTATGAAATGCAAATAAAAACAGAAAGCAGTGGTTTATAAATCCACGTTGACCTTTATTTAAATTAAAATGGTGCAGAGAGAAAATATTTAATGCTTTTTCTTATTAGTTTGTGTTTTTTGTAAATACATGCTTATTCTGAAATTGATGCCTGCAACACCTTCCAAAAAAGTTGAGACAGGAGAAATTTAGGACTAGGATCATTATGAAAACAAAAAACATTCCTTTATGAGTGAAGATGGGTCAATGCTCGCCATTTCACCACTAAACACAACAGCAAAACATCTGAAAAAAATAATGTTCCTCAGAATGGTCCCTCTACAGTGCATAATATCATGTGCATAAAGGAAAAGGCTGAAAACAACTAAGTGACCGTGACATTTGGCCCCTCAGATGACACTGCATTTAAAACCAGCATGTTTTGGTTTGACAAACCTTTGTCAATAAACACCGTCCATTGGTGCATCCACAAATGCAGGTTAAGACTGAACTGTGAACAGCGCAAGTCACATATCAACAACGTCCAGAAACGCCGCTGACGTCTCTGGGCTCGAGCTCATCAGAAACGGACTGATGCTCAGTGGAAACGTGTTTTGTGATCTGACGAGTCAACCTTTTAGATTTTATGGAAATAATGGATGTTGCGTTCTCCGGGCCAAAGAAGAAAAGGACCATCCATATTGTTATCTACATAAAGTTCTAAATCCAGCATCTGTCATGGTGTGGGGTGTTATTAGTGGGTAACCTGCACATCTGTGAAGGCAGCATGAACACTGAACACATTCTGGAACAACATATGCTGCCTTTTAGACCCTGTCTTTTTCAGGACATCCATAATTATTTCACCGTGACAACACCAAGAAACATTCTGCATGTCTGCACTGTCTCACACTAAAAACGTGTTGCAGTATGAAATGACTTAACATAGTCCAACTGAATATTTGTACAATAGAAAAACTGGTCCTATTGGTGTCTTCAGTCCCCAAACATTTTTGGAAGGGGTTACAGGTATCAAATTTGGAATAAACATATATTTCACATTACTGTTTTTCAATTTAATAGGGATCAAACAGAGGTAGTCTAGCAGTGTTATCTTTCAAAATAGGTGTTCGTGTGCTGTGATTGTTTAACTGCACTGTGTTTTTGTGTCTAACAGGAGTCGGGGAGGGAGACTCCATCGTCCAATCAGGTGTCCAGCATGAACGGGACGGACGATGAGAAAATCTCGCACACGCCCGACACCATGGCGTTGAAGAGCGAGAACGACCGACTCAAAACCGCTATAGAGCAGAGGTACATTCACAGTATACACCGAATATTCCCCATAACCACATCTTCAAGATTTCAGAGTCACAGATTGGGTGTCCAGGATTTTTAACGGACTGAGGTGGTGACTCTTCCGCTCACCCACATTTATTTGTGGTGGCTGTGTTGTTACTGTTCATTTCACTCCAGCTAGAAACTTTTAAAAATGTTCTCAAAACATTACAAACATGTTCTATTAATGTTTTTTTTTAAGTTTTTTTTAATCCCAAAATGTTTTTCTTAAAGGTAGGATAAAGTTCAAAAGGCCCATCATGTAACATGCTCTGTGTCCTAAACAACGTCCTCAAAACATCCTCTGAATGTTGCAGTTAAAATGTTACGTCTTAGTTAACATTTGACCTTATATCATTTGAAATGACACACACACCTTAAAAAAGCCAAAAGTTTAGCCAAAGTTGTGGGAACGTTCCCTGCTAGCTAGGGAACTGTTTCCTGGCCTTGTGGGCTCAGACGTGTTTTCGTAACGATAATGTACGTCTGAGGACAGATTGATAAACTTTTGGTCCTGAACTACCGCTAACAATGGCGCACACCCCTTCTAAACCTGACCCTAAATTCCTCTAGTCCTTTTAACATCCCCTGTGTAATTATTAACACGAACAATAAGCTAGCTAGTGAAATGCCATCATTAGCTGACAGAACTGTGAGAGATTTTGTTTATTTGTACTGCATGTAATGTGTTCTTCACACATGCGACTCAAGCTACATCCATGTGCTGATAGGCTTGTTGCCAGTTGGACGATATTGACGAGCACACCAGCGCCCCCTACTGTGAGCTCCACCGTCATGTGTTGTTGGATTGTTTTAGAAATTTCGCTCTCAATTTGTTCCCACCCTAATAAGTCTATGTTCCCCGCATTTACCCTGAAGTACTCATGGTTGTCCCCAGATGTTCTGTACGAGATTACGTCTGGAATTGCAAAACTAACTAGTGATCAGCTGGAGACTGAACGCAAAACACTGGAGCAGGAACAACACTGACTCCTTTCAGATCAACTAAAATTAAAAATTTGTGTGTGCGTGTGTGTGTGCGTGTGTGTGTGCGTGTGTGTGTGTGTGTGTGTTTCAGTAACTCAAATGCTAAGAAGTGTGAGACGGAGCTGCAGGCTCTGAGGGAGAGTAACGCTCGGCTGCTGGACGCTCTGCAGGAGGCTAACAGCAGTGTGGAGAACTGGAAAACAAAGGCAGCGGCCTGTCAGGAGGAGAACAATGCACTGAAGAACAAGGTCTCACACACACACACAGCTTTGTGATAACTGTTGATATCACTAGTGATTATCTCCTCTCTCCAGGCTCAGTGTTCTTTCGTAGCTGCTGTTGTGAGGTTGTACAAGCTTTACAGAACACTGGCAAAAATCCAGTTAAACCTAATGAGAAACTGTAGAACAGACTCAGTTTATATCACAATACCTACATTTAGAGCCAGTTATTCATTCAACCTAATGAGAAACTGTAGAACAGACTCAGTTTATATCACAATACCTACATTTAGAGTTAATTCCCATTCGAAAGTAAAACCTTTAAGTTTTAATCCTAGTGGTTTTTAATGGTCTTTTTTTCAGCAGGGTGTCATGCTTTAGATTTATTAGGACTGTGTAAGGAGGCACGTACAGGCCTTAGTGTGTAACGTGTGTGTGTGTGTGTGTGTGTGTGTGTGTGTGTCAGATTGTGGAGCTGGAGCTGCAGTGTAAGGAGGTGAATCAGGAGAAGGAGAGAAACGCTCAGCTCACTCTGAGAGTGCAGCAGCTGGAGACAGAGCTGCAGGATAAAGAACAGGTAACACCATCACAGCCCACAGTGCTCCTTCTGAAACTGATGTTTAGGTTCCTCTGCTTCCAAACTACACCCTAAAAGATGGTTCTTCAGGAGTTCTGTGACACTCAAAGAACGCTTTGAATGCATGAATTTGTATGAGGTATTTTCCATGGTTGAATCATTTTTCTCTCTGATGGAAAATCTGTTGTGTTTGGTTCTGTGGGGGGGTGTGTGTGTGAGTGTGTGTGAGTGTGTGTGTGTGTGAGTGTGTGTGTGTGTGTGTGTGTGTGTGTGTGTGTGCGCATGTGTGGGGTTTGGTATGTATGGGTTGTGTGTGGATGTGTCATGTGGTATGTTGGGTAAATGGGATGTGGTGTCTGTGTGTGTGTGTAGTGTGTATGTGTGTGGTGTATATGGGGTGTGTGGTGTGTGTACATGGGGTGTGTGGACATGAGTGCAGTGTATGTGTGGTGTATATGTATATGGGGTGTGTGGAGTGTCCATGTGTGTATAATGGAGTGTGTGGTGAATATGGCATCTGTGGTGCGTATGATGGTGGAATCTGTGTGTTTAAAAAATGCTGAAACACTCAGTGTGGAATCAGAGGAGAGACTCTGATTCTCATCCCACACACAAACACACACACACAGATGTGAGTCATCCCACCCCCGCAGTGATGCCTCAGAACCAGCCAATCAGAGCAGCTCTTTCAGCTCTGAGCATGTGATCATGTATGTGACTGTGTGTTCAGGAGCTGGAGAATCTGAGGAAACAAGCTGAGATCATCCCCCAGCTCATGGCTGAGTGTGAGAGCATCACCGCCAAACTACAGGTAAACTACACACACGACAAACTACAGCTCAACTACAAACATTAACGACAGGTCAACTACACACATGACACTAACTACAGGTCAACCACACACACAACACTGACTACAGGTCAACCACACACGCGACACTGACTGCAGGTCAACCACACACGCGACACTGACTACAGGTGAACCACACACGCGACACTAATAACAGGTCAACTACACACACAACAAAAACTACAGGTAAAGTACATACACAAACAGCTCAGCTATACAAACTAACCAAACTACACAAACACGAGTAGACTACAGACACAGCTACCCAAAGCACATGTAAACCACCCAAACACACACTACAGATGAACTACACAAACTGCACAAAGTAGACAAAAACTACCCAAACAGCAAAACTCACATAAACACTCTTATACACACACACTCACTCACTCACTCACTCACACTTTTTAACTGTATACAAATTCAGTGTGGCATACTGTGTGTGTGTGCGTGTGTATATAATGTGTGTGTGTGTGTGTGTGTGTGTGTGTGTGTGTGTGTGTGGGTATATAATATATGTAAAATATATGTGTGTGTGTGTGTGTGTGTGTGTGTGTGTGTGTGTGTGTGTGTGTGTGGTAGGCGGCGGAGCAGTCTAGTACGGAGGCCCGTGGGAAGGTGACGGCGCTGCAGAGCGAGGTGGAGGACAGTCAGCAGAAACACACACACATGAAGACAGAGCTGAAGAAGTTCATGGACGTTCTGGAGGGAAAAATCGACGAGCTGCACGAAGTGCGTCAGGGGCTCTCCAAACTTGGCATTGACAACTGAATACACACCGCACAACCACGCTGGGCTCCCAACGGACTGCACCGGAGCCAACCAAGTGATATAACCCCCCACGGCAGACCCCCAACCTGCCCCTGCCCAACCGCCCCCCTGACAGACTCCCCTCCAGACCCCCCTCCAGACCCTCCCACCCCCAAAACCACAGAGCTGAACAGCTCCAATATTAGGAAGTGACAGCCATAACTGTTTGTGCTGCACACACTAACACTGGGCTGAGTGTGTTACTGTGTGTGTGTGTGTTACTGTGTGTGTGAGTGTGTGAGTGAGTGAGTGAACAAGGGCTATGTGGTGTTTAGTTCAGTGGCGCGGATGTACAGAGTTGACTGGTTGGCCACAGAGTGAATCGGTACTCATAGCGAGGTCTGAAACCTGATCCGACCCCAGTGGTACATCTAAATTTGAAACCTGAACTGGCTCGCATCACGAGCCATATCATCACTGAGGGTTTACAGAGCTTTACTGTATAACTGAGAGCTGGAGTGATGGAATGTGATGCTGTGATACACTGATAGTATTGATTATCAGTGTAATTGTTGTAGAACTGCTGATTGAACAGGACTGAACAGTGCCCCCCTCCTCTGAGCCTGGTTACAGCAGCTCTGCGTAAGTTTATCTAATTTTTTTTTTTTAAGTAAGGTCTTTATTAGCTTTTCAAAGATGATCATATAGGGAGTTAATATAATTATAAAGACAGTTTTACCACTTAACAAAAAGACAGACCAAAAACATGGAGTTACAAAAATAAAGGGGGGGTGTGAAGTGTATGTAATGCTCAGTTTTCACTCTGCTTCAGTTTCACTGCTGTCAGGTCTAAACCCTTTATACTGTTCCTCTTTAAGCTTGTCAATAGCAGGCTAGATATATTTACACAATCAAAATATGATTATTTAATAGTAAGTTTATATTTGGTTTGTGTGTAAAGTCTTCAGTTACACTAATTCATTTCAAACTGGCTTTTACTCAATTTAGTTGCACCACAAATTGTGTCTTAACTAGTAACAACTAACTAATGCGCACGTCACTTTAACATGACAATAACACGATCAGAACCGATCAGTAAACCTGCTGCCATGGAAACACGATGGAGCTGCTCTGACTGAATATCCAGCCTAGAAGAGAGCAATATGTACTCTGTATTCTTTAGTATTTCACTGAGAAATCAAATACTCAGCTTTTTAAATGCTGATTTCTGGCTGACCAACACAACAGCAGCCTCAGTTTAGCCGTTTGTGCAGCTGCTGAGTCTCACCGAGCTGGAGCTGTGGGTGTTCAGCTTCATGCTCAGAGTTTAAACCAGGGCGACAATTAGAGCTGTGAGGAAAATCATTTCATGTTTTTAGCTTAGTAACCAAGTCATATTTTTGGTCTTTTTGTGCTCTCTGTGTGGTTCTGATGGTTTCCCCAAAACTCACACCTGCTGAGGGAGTGTAACTGGTGAGCTCAGCCTTAAAACTAGTTTGTGGTGCAGCTCATTCTGATTTAGTGATGATATACCTGAACTTAGTAAACACGTAACAGCTAGTCTACGCCTAAACTTACGCACAGCTGGTGCAGCTGGATACAGCTCTGCTGGTGCAGCTGGATACAGCTCTGCTGTTAGCGCTAAAGCTCCTCTCACTTGTTCTGATCCTGATTACTTCAGGAGAACCTCACGAGCGAGAAGAAATATGTGGCTCTTCTATGGCAGTGGTCTCCAGCCCTCCTCCTGGAGATCTGCAGGTGTCACCCTCCCAAACCAAACACCTCCTTGAGCTAATCAGGGATGTCTGAAGGCAGCAGCCAGACTCATCAGAAGGGGCTGATTAGGGTTGGGGCTGAAGTCTGCAGGAAGGTGGATCTCCAAGAGAAGAGTTGGTGACTACAGCTGAAGAACCGTCCAGAACACTGCCCCAAAGCCTGAAACTGTCGGACTGCGTCAGGTCGGGTAGCAGACCTCTAACAAACACACGCGTGTGCGCACACAGCAGAGCGTCAGAGAGTGTTAGAATGTGATTTTGAGTGTGTGTGTGTGTGTGTGTGTGTGTGTGTGTTCTTGTGTTCTTGTCTTGCTATACCTGTAAGGACTACATGACACTTCGCCACATTTTGCTGGTCATCACTTCAGCACATGATGTTTCACCACAAACTACATTTATTTGGAAAGCTAAAAGAGCAAAAAATTCATTTGGATTTCAAGGTTAGGTTTAGGTGTAAGTGTAGCGGCTACAGTAATACAAAATCAATAGAAGCCTATGGAAGTCCTCACAAGTACAAGAAGACAAACGTGTGTGTGTGTGTGTGCGCGCATGTGTGCAATGCTCTAAAGCAGTCGTGGGACGCTCTCTCAATATTTGTTTTTTGTTTTTTTGGGTTTTTTTGTTTGGTTTTTTGTTTTTTTTTGTTTCCAAGATAGTAATCATTATCGTTTATCAGAGAAGTTAAAACAATCAGCAATAACGAGCTGCTAAACAAGCTGCTAATTAACTGAAAATGTAAAACGGTGTCTTTCATTTATGAGGGTCAGTGTTTTGTTTATCTCGTCTTTTGGATGACAGATTAAAGTCTTGTCGTTTGGAGGGCTGAGGGTCATTCAGGTTTGTTAGATTTTCTCTTTTGGACGCTTTCAGTCTTGTTCCAATACGACACTACATTCTTCACACAATTTTGGAAATTTTAGTGTATCTGCAGTTTTCCTCATAGACGTATGGAAGCACATTCCTGCCAGATAGAGGACGAAAAAAATCACTTTTGTTTTCCTTTCAGTTTTAACATTGGTGTTTCTTACTGCCGCCAGAGAGGGATGAAAAAAACTTTATTTCCTACCTGCTGGGAAGTGAATGCCATACGTTTTACATATAAAGAGATTTTTGTGAGATGATGTTTGTTTTGTGGGCTGAAGTGAAAGATTTATTAGTTTGCTGTTGTGCAGTCAGGCCAAGAGTTTTGGTTAGTTATAATAGAGCTGAAATGATTTTGAATATGCTGAAAAAGAATTTCCATAAAACATTAACACATCAGATAATAAACATATGATGATGATGATGATGATGGTGGGAGTGTCCCATGACCTTTGAGCTGGGTGTGGCTCTGTGTTTAGTTCAGTGACACTGACAGGTAACAGGGTGGGGGTGATGTATAGCGACAGGGTTAGCATCACACACACACACACACTCTCTGTGTGTAATAACGGGGTGTGACTGATGGCTGGAATCTCAGGGTGTGTTTGGGTTCGTTATGCACACACACGAACTGCAGTGTCACTAAGTGCCTGAGGTGGCGCTCTCTACTAGAGTCCCTCACTAACCTCCGCGTCCGCATGAAGCTGCTCCCCCTGGTGGGCAGGAGGCACACCTACACATACACACACCAACACTCTCACAGTCAGATTAAAGTGCAATATCGGTCCTGGCCTGCAGGGGGCGGATGGTCTTCGATTTACAGTTTTTCCGTGTGTTTTGTGCGGATAAAGCGCATCTTCTCGGCCATAACAATGTACGAAATGACCCGAATCTATGCTAGATAATATATTTATGATTGCTGTGATCAAAGAATTGTGCATGTTTGATAAACATTTGTCAATGTTATTTTTAACGTTGTGGCTGTTGTGGGTGATGTTTTTTTTCCCCTCATGTTTTTGTACGGCTGGGCTTTGGGTGGGTGGGTGTGTTGGTTATTGCTGCTAGCTGGTGAGGGAGAAGTCTGCATGATGGACAGCAGGTGCAGTGTAGAGGCTCCGCCTCTCCAAATGATCTACACTGCACCTGCTTTCCGTCATGCAGAGCTCCAGGGTTTAGAACTTTCTCTTCCCGAAGTGACGGATTTCCACGTCTGTTTTTTCTGATCAATGCTGTATGATTATTGATTGTCATAAATATAGTTTAAGTACGAAACCTTTCATGTGTCTGTTGCTTTTCTTTTCAGCCAAGAGGAGCATTTAAGAGTTTTTTGGGGGACTTTAATGCTGTGCTAACTTATACTACATCCATCTGCTAACAGGCTTGCCGCCTAGCGCCCCCTGCTGTGAGAACTGTTTTGGATCGTTTTTGAAATTTCACTCCATTTGTTTCCATGCAAATAAGTTTACATTCCTCCCACATTTAGTTCAGACTTCCTCCCCAGATGTTCCCATTACTTCTAGAAGTGCAAGAACACACGTGTCCAATCAGAGCCAGTGGCAGTATTTACCTTATACGTTTCCTTTAATGGACCCAGTTTTTTGTGTTAACTTTTACAAAACATACCATTTACTCATTTCATGAAACCCAACCTAGAAAAACAAACCATTTAAAATTTAGCATGGTTGTGATGTCTAACCAACAACACCCACATGACCACCTTTTTATTCTACAGCAGTTTAGCCCCGCCCATTCAGCCTGCAGCAGTTTAGCCCCGCCCGTTCGGCCTGCAGCAGTATGGCCCTGCCATTAACAGCCCTGAAGATTTCAGTCCCAAATTAAGTTTGTTCCACGTTTTAGGCTGGGCTGCTTTTTTAACAAGACGCAATTCAGGACAGCCTATCAGAACAGAAGCTCATTTACATATACCAGTTATAAAGTCACAGTAACAGAAACTATGTTTAACTGTAAGAGATAAAGAGGCTGTAAATGATGATGTAGAGGTGAGTTCTGACTGTTGTGGTGAATAAACCTCTCAGATGTTGTCATTGCAGCTCAGAGGGAGATAAATTAGGCTGTAGCTCTGAGCTCCTGAACGTTGAAGCTCCTCAGCTCCTTCACCATGAAGTGTGATTTTGCATGGTTTTTAGACTGCAGTGAGATTTCTCACAAAGCCGCCGCCCACAGCAGCGTGAGTGTGTTTGAATACGGTGAGCAGGTTTTATTCCCACAGCGTGATCAGAGACTCCTCACACACACTAACACACAGTAACACACAGCCTGAACCGGAGCTCCAGTTACTGACCCTAAAATCATTACTCAACATCTGATATGAATTATTTAACATCTGCTATAAAACTAATGCACAAGTTCTGAGATAGTAATTCTAATAAAATTATAATAATGGTAAGTGGTTCTTATTATTTTGTTATTAGTTGTTAATGAGGTTATAATGTGGAGTTTTGTGCTATAGTGACTTCATCCTCATACAAAGTGTGTGTGTAAGGTGAAGTGTGAGCTGTGTGTGTGTGTGTGTGTGTGTGGGTGTTAAAACCCCCCCCTGTGCTGATGGCTGCTGCGCTGCTGCTGCTGTGGATGGTAAGAGGACATGTTGCCTTGGCAACTTCATCCCACACACACACACACACACACAACCACACACACAGTATTGATTGAGCAGTTGGTGTGTGTATGTGTGTGTGTGTGAGAGAGAGAGAGAGAGAAAGTCCCAAACTTGTCAGCCCTGCTATAATAATAATAATAATAATAATAATAATAACAATGACAATAATAACTGTTTGTACAGCACTTTTTAAATCAGGGTTACAGCTTAACAGATTATAAAACACAGGATAAAATGACATAAAAGAGAAATAGTAACACTATAAACACTATAAAGACTGTAAAGACTATAAAGACTGTAAGGAACTCTGAATAAATATGAAATTATATTAATGTTTTTAACATTAAAAGAGTTTGAACTGGTATCAGGCTTTTACACACACTCTTCAGTGTGTGTGTGTGTAGTGTGGTTAGGTGGATTGTGGAGATTTCACTGTGGGCTACCAGCCTGTTTCCATAGTAACACACTTGTCAGAATCCTGTGAAGCACAGAGACTTTCTGCAGAACACACACACACACTACAGTGTGCTGATACAGGGGTGTGTGTGTATTAGTGTGTTTGTTTTATTAGAGGGTTTGTGTTTAGTGTGTTAAATTTGAACTGAAATTCTGAATTAAAACTTGCTGTGATTAATAAACTTCAGACGGATCAGATTAGTTCAGCTACGTCTTTACTTTGTAGTCGTCTATGAATAATATTCTTTAAAATTTCTGATGTTTGTAACCAAACTATTTGTGTGTGTGTGTGCGTTTGTGTGCAAGAACATGTATCAAACACACTCACATGTTCAGCATCTTTAATGATTCTGATTCTCCAATAAACAGAATAAAGTAACAGAAAGAGTGAAAATCAGAGACAAGCAGGATGACAGTGACAGCGCTGTGTTTACTGAGTTACTCTGAGCTAAAGCATATCAGTCCTGTTACAATTTTAAAACACTCTTCACTCACAACACTGTAACTGTGTTGTTTTAAGTCCTGAAACTCTGAGCTGAGTGACGAACGCTGATGATTTAGTCTCACTGAGCTGCCGCTGAGCTCTCTGAACGGAAGACTTCCTGAATTCTTTTAATAAAATACAGCAACAGGCTTGATGTGTGTGTGTGTGTGTTATAGAGATGTAAAAGACACACACACACACACAAATACAAAGTGCAGGCACTTTATTAAGCGCTACTGAGGAAAACAATAACAGTAAACAGCCATCTGCAATATATTAAACCCAAAACAGAAAATAATATCAGTGTTAGAGCAGATTTAGATTCAGAGATAGATTTACCCAAAAACTGACTGTGTTTATTCCATACAGCTCTGACTGTTAGTCTGATCTGCAGAGGTGCTGTGATCTCACTGCTCACTGAAGAGACCTGTCAATTAATCCATTATGAATGTTTAGTTTTAATCAGGAAGCAGGAAGTTGGGGGGTGTTGACAGTTGGTCACCGCAACTGCTAAAAATAATAAAAGATCTTAGCTTTAAGCTAATCTGAACGCAGTAAAGACCTTGCTCGTTTTAGAGTGGACTTTGTACTTTTGTGTTTTATCCACAAACTTTTAAAGCCTGCAGTGGTCTTTCGGTGAGGGGGAGATGTGGCTAACGGCTACGGTGACGTTTGGCACAGTTCATTTATCCTCCAGTTCAAACAGCACTGCTGTAATCTACAACGTTTCCACTGATGGATTAATTAGAAGGAAAAAAAAAAAAAAACGTTTAAAACATCAATCCTGTCCTGCCGGGCTGTTTGTTGAGCTGAGCTCACTTTACTAGCCTCATGCTGCTCTATCTGACGTTAAAGGTGCAGTAAACGGTTTCAGTCCAGTATACTTTATCAAAATTAGTGAACGTCTCCTCACAGTCTGCTAGCTCTCCAATCTGCATTTGCTGGAATGAATGCGGTGTTGGTCCACAGCCCTGGATCTGTAAATAGGAAACACAAAGTGTCTTGGACCAACACTATTCCAGCCAATCAGAAGCAGGGGGCGCTCCTACTCAGGACAGGGGGAAGGGGAGAGGATACGTGCTGAGCTCCATGCATCATCAAGAAGGAGAGAAACAGCCAAAGAGGAGAAGATCTGAAGAACCAAGACTGAGAAAGAAGTTCTTAGATCAGACGAGGGAATGTAACTGCTGTATCATTTAAGGTGGAACAGGAAAATTTGAACAAGAAGCTGGAGAATAAGAAAGTGACTTTAGATTCATTGAGAACTGAAAGACATGAAAATGGATGAGGAGGCTGCTCTGATTCTGGGCAACATTAACTTATTTTTGCTGTTTCACTGAAGCAACAGGTCAGTATTGTTTTGTCCTGTTTGCAGGAGCAATTGTAGCGACAGTTTGCTAACCCACCTAAATAACGTTAGCTGCACTGAACACTGGAAAATATATCTCTCTACTCATTACTATGCATGGCCATTTTGTTTAGACATCTTTACATATTGCATAATGCACTGCCATTTGTTTATATACCATGCATATTGACTAACACATCACTGCTGTCAGAACAAAACTTCATCTCTCCAAAGAGGTTTACAAACAAAGGAAAAATGCTCTTAATTTTAATGCTCTTAATTTTAAAAGTAAATGAATAAATAATTTTTCCCAAGTAATTATGGACGTTTCTGTTGGTCTGTTCATTATGAAACTTTGATACATCATAGAAGGCAACTGGTATTTTCAAATTATGTAAAAAATTGAAAAACAACAATAATGGAGATACAAGGTATGTCCCAACAGCAATGATATGATACTGATTACAGTGTTTAGTCACTCGGTTCATTCATCAGATGTGACCTGCACCACTGCATAATATTTATACAATTTTACTCATTTTTGTACTGCATATTATATTTTATGGTTGTTTTAGTATATTTTATTATCTATCTTTACTTCTTCTATTTACGTATCTGTACAATAGTGTATGGCACTTGTTTTGCTCTTTACTGAATTTGTGCTGCTGTAATAGATGACTAAAGTAATCGATCAATTGATCGATCTATCTGTCTGTCTGTCTGTCTGCTCTAATGTTATGTCACGGTATCTGTCTGTACAGTAAAGAACTTTATGGCCATGAAGACCTAAACAAGTTTTCTAGCCCAGATTCGTTTATCTTGGCAGCAAATTCAGGGAGGCGGAGCTTCTGAAGGAGTGCTGAAGGGAGGGGTGTGTTTGTTTTGCTGTTGAGTTCAAATATAAACAATCTTTCTCCATAATCGTATACTGCACCTTTAACCGGAAGGCTGATGTTTTGATCTTCAGTAAATCTGAGTAAATTACACAGACACATTTTTCTAGTGTAAATCAGCCAATCAAATCATATTACCCTACCTCCTCTAGATTAACTAATCCCGCTCACATACAGTTCAAGACTGCGGATAATCAAGTGTATGTGAACGTGTCTGTATTGTTATTACAGTACAGTATATTTTATAATATGCAAATCACAGTTTAAGGCATCTTCAACATTCAGATCTCCAGTATTGTTTTTAACATTCAGCATTAAAACTGTATCTGAGTTTATACACACTCTCTTAACTGTCCCAGTCTCCCGACTGAGCGTCCCGATGTTCATCATCATCATCTTCATCATCTGTCTCCTTGGAGACCCTCTTCATCCTCATCATTGCTGCTTTGATGCTCTGCTCCAGTTCAGAGTCTCTGCAGGGGGTGGGGCCTACAGGGGGCGGGGCTTTCTTTAAGGTCACACCCTGACGGATGGCTGACAGCAGGTTGTCTCTGAAGTTGGTCTCTGTGGAAACGGTGGGGGCGTTGGGGGTCACCTTACGCAGGCGTAGCTGCCCCCTCTGCAGAGAGGCCAGGACAGCGTCCATCGAGCCTGTAATTAGTTATCAATAATCAATAAGCAAATTATAGAACAATCTTTATATTTTTAGTCTGGCTTTTAATTAGTTTCACGAACTTGTACGTTAGTTTTTTCTTTACTTATTTTGTTCAATTAATCTGTTATTCCCTTTTATTACATCTTAATTTCAATCTTTCGTACTCTATTATTATTTTTGTATATACAGTATCCTGCCTCCTTATAATGTAGTTTTTTAATGTTACACTGATTAGTGTTTTAAATGATGCAAAGCTGCTTTGAAAAGCTGAAAGTGTAAAAAAGCTGTTTATATAACGCTGAGTGTAGAATAATCAGTCATGAATAATCAGTGTGAGTTTTTGCCTAAATAAACGCTGATAAAAATCTCATTAAACTCAGTTTATATCACAATCCCTACATTTACAGTCAGTTATTCACTTCTGATTACATTTATTGTGTGTGTAGAAGATCTCACTGTACATACTGTGATATAAACTATAAATATTGTGATTGTGAGTCTGTTCTAAAGTTTCTCATTAGGTCGAATGAATAACTGGCTCTAAATGTAGGTATTGTGATATAAACTGAGTCTGTTCTACAGTTTCTCATTAGGTCGAATGAATAACTGACTCTAAATGTAGGTATTGTGATATAAACTGAGTCTGTTCTACAGTTTCTCATTAGGTTGAATGAATAACTGACTCTAAATGTAGGTATTGTGATAAAAACTGAGTCTGTTCTACAGTTGTTACTTAGTTGAATGAATAACTGGTTTGTACTGTGATATAAACTGATTTTTACTACTGTGATGTAAACTGATTTTTACCACCGTTCTGTCTTGAACGGTTGAGGGGGGGTTGAGCCTCACCTGTGCTTTCCTGCAGTGTGTTTTTGTTTTTGGGAGATGAAGCAGCCTCTCTGTCACTCAGCAGCAGGGGCAGAGCCTGCAGGGGAAGGGGAGGAGGAGGTGGAGGGGGAGGAGGAGGAGGTGGGGGTGGGGGCAGAAGCGGGGGGGTAAGTGTCTGTTCCGGCATAGCTGGTCCTGGTCCTGGGGGTAACAGAATTTGTACAGGGATTTCTCTCTGCTTCCGACCCCGCCCCCTTCCTCTAGGCCTGGAGGCGGGGCTCTGAGAGACATCACCAGTGGGAGGGTCCAGAGAGATGATTGACATTGGCTGTAATGAATCATCTGTAGCGGAGTCAGGAGGCTTCGGTTTGCAGCGAGGGGTCTTCATCACGTACTGCCCAAGCTTCTTCTACACACACACACACACACACACACACACACACAGACACATACACGTGTGTATAATTCAATATTTATATTCAAAGGGCTCATATCTCACATTTTTCTCTATTTTGTTCCTTGAGGTCAACCTCTAACATCTGTCTGGTTTTATGTGCCAAAAACAGTCATAATTTCTACATGATTATTCTACATGAATATTTATTACTTTTATCCCCATTGTGCCTTTAAGACTGACATATGTAAATGAGCTCTGTTCTGAGTGGCTGCCCTGTATCGTGCCTCATTCATAAAGGAGTCTGGGCTGAAACACTCATGACTTCAGAGTGAATGGATGGGGCTAAACTGCTGTAGGCTGAATGGGCGGGGCCTAACTGCTGTAGGTTGAATGGGTGGGGCCCAACTGCCGTAGGCTGAATGAGCAGGGCTAAAGTGCTGCAGGCTGAATGGTTGGGGCACTATATAGTATTTTACTGGCAAAAACACGCTGACTTCCCAGATATTTGCTCAGGGGCTGAAGATTCTTCCACAGTGTTTGTGGAAAAGTTTGTGCACCCCCGGCCAAATTACATATGTTGTTGATTTTTTTAAGTGAAAAGAAATAAACACAACCTCTGCAGCAAACTACTGCAAAAATAAAGTTCTACAAATATTAATGCACAGCTGCTTTATGATACATTGAAATAAAAAAATAATAAAACATTCACAAGTTTGTTAAAAAGTTACACCTGTCCAGCTGTAAAGTCTCAAAATTAAGGCCTAAACTGACTCGTTAGGACTGGATAGGCAGGTCAAGATCTGTCATTAGCTGATGAGAATTCCAGAGTGTAATAAATTCTCTGACTCTTCAAACCTTTTAACATTCAACCATGAGCTCCAAAGAGCAGCTTTTGAGGATGCCTACAGAGCAAGAAAAGGATATAAAGATACCAAAGCGCTTCCAGCTTGTAATTCACACTGTCTGAAATGGCAGTTAAACGGAACCGTGGAAGTCAAGGAAAGATCTGGAACTCACAGACAGAACTGCTCATTACGACAGAAAGGCTAAGCAAAACCTCCACATGACGGAAAAAAACCTGCAGGAAGGTTTAGCTGGAGAACTGATCTGCGACTCCATAACAAACTCAATGTCTGAAGAATGCAAAACATTATCTAGATCAGCCAGATCTAGATCCAGCATTTTGGAAATTAATGAAATAAAAATGAAACTCCACAATCAACAAAGGAATGATTGGAGAAAAAGAGCAGCATCTGATGAAAGGAACACCGTGCTAACTGTCAAGCAGGGGGGCAGATCTGTTATGCTTTGAGATTGTGTGGCAGCCAATCAAAATGGATTCCACTAAATATCAACAAATTCTGGAAGCAGATGTGACAGTCGGTCAAGAAGCTGCAGCTGAAAAGATGTTCTAACAACAGCACAACAATCCAAAACACACATCAGCATTCTGACAATGATCCTCAGAGTTTCCTGAAAACCTGACAATTTAACAACATGCTGTGCATAAAAGAAGAAAATCGCAGAAACAGAAACAATCTGTGAAGAATTTATTTACACACAGCTGCATATAAACACACAGGAATAAAGTACACTGTGAGGCTGAGGGCTGAAACTGGTTTCGGTAAGTCTGAGAGCGACTTTGATAAAAATAACACATTCGCGGTGGGTGCTGAAGTGTAGGGGGGGAGGTGAGAGCAGAGTGGATTGTGGGTAATTACCTCTCTGAAGGAGCGCAGTCTGCTGAGTGTTTTCTCCCTCTCAAACTCCACCCACTCCTTCTTTTTCTCCTCCTCCTCCCTCCTCTTCTCCCGCTTCTACACATGCATACACACACACACGCACGCACGGTTAGAGCTGCTGGTTGCCGGCGGGCGCCGGGCAGGTTGAGGTTGCTGTGGTGACTCACCAGGTGTACTGCATGGTGGTGTTGATGCTGAGTGGTTTTCTGCTGCAGCGCCCCCTGCTGGAGCTCCCACGCCTTCACACAGCTCTCCTACACAATCACAATCACAATCAGAAACACAATCACAATCACAATCAGAAACACAATCACAATCATAAGGTTAAAATTTTTTTTACCAAAAAAAATGTATCAGGAAGTTCTCAGGGCAGGTGTCGACACAAATTACAAAAAAAGAATTGTAGTTTATGTTCACTCTGTGTCAAGCACATGCTAAGTCAACTGTGTGTGTAGTGTGTGTGAGTGTGTAGTGTGTGCGATGTGTTTGTGTGTGTGTGTAGTGTGTGCGTGTAGTGTGTGTGATGTGTGTGTGTGTGTAGTGTGTGTGTATGTACCTTTCTGTTCCTTATTTTTGCTCTGTGTGTTGACATTGCAGCTCTTTTTCTCTCTAGCTGCTGGAGCTGCTGGTGCAGGTGAGAGTGGGCGGGGTTACTGCCAGAGTGGGCGGAGCCTGTCTGAATGCACTGCAGCTCTGCAGGATCCTCGCATGCATCGTAATACACCACCTCCTCACTGAGTTCTACCACACACACACACATATAGATATGAACACATTTGTGTATTTGCACCAAAGAACTATTTTCCAATAATATAGTGATCAGAGCGCCCCCTGCTGTTTGTGCTCAAATGTAAGTTAACAGTGAACTGCAGCAGCTGCACAGGCTATACAGCACAGTAGAGCTCTGACCTCCCACTGGACGCCCCCCCCCAAGATATCTTGCAGTGCAGGACTAATTTTCAGTACTGTGTGCTGAGAGGGTGGATAACCAAACCCCTGCAGGTGGGAGCAGGACAAAGCATACATGAAGAGAAATCCCACAAATTAATGAACAGCCTAAATAAAGTAGAACAAGCACTAAATCATATACTACAGAATGGTGGAGCCTTCAGTCCAACGGCCACAGCTGCCCAGCAAAACACCACAAATAACCACTCTGTGGTTTACTTCCTGCTTTATGTTCACTGGGAATAAATGGCGTTTGGTGAAGTTACTTCACAGTGAGCCTGATTACCACAACTGCCGTGGTATTTCAACAGAGAATAATGTGTTTGTGAATAGACAGAGTCAGATATTGGACGTCAGTTCATCTGGAGCAGGGGTCGGCAACATGTGGCTCTTTTACTGCCCTGTTGCGGCTTCACAGCAGAATTAGTTTTTAGGTAAAAATAAATGAATCCTCCTTTGCAGTAAAATGAAGCTCTGCTGATCATTACAACAAAGTTTTAACAATAAATGGTCTTAAATGCTGGAGTTAATGTAGAACTGCTAATTCACCCTTTAACCCTGAATATCAGCACAATATTACACACAGAGGATTGAAGAGCACTTCAACTCCTCTGACCCCTGGCGTATGTGGCATACAGTCAATTACTGATCTCAAACCACCCAGCACTGTGCCCCCTACCAACTGTGCCTCACTCCCTGACGAGCTTGACCACTTCTATGCTTGCTTCTACAGGGGAAATAAGGTGGTCTTCTCCAAAACAGATTTACCACCTGCTGAGCAGCCACTTTCAGTCTCCACCGCGGATGTCTCTCACACTCTGAGCAAGGTGAATGCACAAAGGCAGCTATCCCTGATGGGAGTACCTGGCCATGTGATTAGAGCCTGTGCTAAGCAGCTAGCCAGGGTCTTCATGGACATTTGTAATCTGTCGCTGGCCCAGGCAGTCGTCCCAACCAGCTTCAAGACTGCCACCATTGTACCAGTGCCAAAGCATCCAACTGCTTCAGCACTCACCTCCATCATCTCTAAGTGCTTTGATAGACTAGTTCTTTCTCATTTGAAGTCCTGTCTGCCTGTTACACTGGACCCACACCAGTTTGCCTACCACCGCAACAGTTCAGTTGGAGGACGCCATTTCTACGGCGCTCCACAATGTACTGACCTACCTGGACTGTCAGAACGCTGTTCACTGACCAGTTCAGCATTTAACACAGTGATCCCCTCCAAGCTGATCTTAAAGCTTAGCCAGCTTGGTATCAGCACATCTCTCTGCAACTGGATTCTAGACTTCCTGACTGACAGACTCTTTATTACAACACTTTATATGTAAATAAATCTGTATGTGTATAATACTGTATCTGTAAACTGCACGTCATTGGCTCTGTACCTGAACTCTGCACAGTGACAAAGTTTCATCTAATCTAATCTAATCTACGTAAAATCCAATAAAATGTCATTCACAAAAAAAATTAAATGGAGAGCAACGTTTTGAGTCCAACCAGCAGAGGGTGCAGTTCTACACTTCCACTCCACATGGAGGAGTGAAAACACTTTAAATTAGTGATTTAAACCAGAAGTGTGTGTGTGTGTGTGTCAGTACAGTGTGAGTGTGTGTGCATAGTATGATATCAGTCTGCGTGTACTACAGTATCAGTGTGTGTGTGTCTGTGTGTGTATGTGTAGTACAGTATCAGTGTGTGTAGTACAGTATTAGTGTGTGTGTGTGTGTGTGTGTGTGTGTGTGTGTAGTACAGTATTAGTGTGTGTGTGTGTGTGTGTGTGTGTGTATAAACCTTTGATCTGTCTCTGGATGGTGTGTATCTGTGCGAGCAGCAGCAGCTCTTCATTCTTCAGGATTTCTAACTTGCAGTCGTAAAGTTCCAGCTGAGCGTCATAATACTGCAGCTCCAACACCTGCACCTCACTCACACCCCCACACACACCTTCCAGCTGCGCACACACACACACACACAAATTAATAGGGCTAAAAATGTATTATTTTATACAGACATTGCCATTTGAGGGAACTCTTGTCATTTGAAGGACTTTCAAATTACAAATTAAGCCATAATTTCAGTTACAGGCTATATTATCAATAACACCACTTGTAGTTGTTAAAAGTGAGGAAATTTCACCCAATAACGCAAATCTTGTGAACTGCCTGTAGATGAGTCAGACCAATCAGAAATAACCAAACACTCATATAGGGCTGGACCTGAATATTTTACTACTCATACATTCGTTCGTTGGGCAGGTATTCTGTTTTTTTTATAGTTTTTACTATTAATAGAGGCACACTGCAGAATACTGTACTGTTCAGGGATTTAAAAGAAACTTAGGCCTCTATTCCACTGTCAAGCCGAACGGTTTCTTTTTCAATCTGCTGTACCGCTAAATCAGAACCAGGAAATACTGTAGAAAACTAAACTAACAAGCTAATAGCCATGCACACGTTTGATTCCGTTTGTCACTCCAGCTCCAGTGTATCTCTCGGCTGCTCTCAAGTTTTTTTTATCTTCTAAACGGGTGTTATTTGAGCATCAGTCACTGAAACAGCCTGTATTGTGGTGGGCTTCACCTGTAGCTGGATAATTACACTAGCATTTAGAATTGCCAAGCAGGGTCCAGCTCAAAGCATCACAGAACAACTCTATTTTTTTTTCTTTCTATCACTTCAGTATCAGGCATTCAAATCTATGCTCTCAGATATGAATCTTTAGTCTTTAAACAGGTGTTTTAATCATCAGTTGCTAGAACCGTGCCTGTACTGCAGTGGGAGGCACTGTGCACTCATGTTAGCTTAGCCTAGCAGGCTGCACCTTAAAGCAGAACAGGCCAGATTCGGCTTTCTGTCACTCCAACACCAAACAGGTGACTTTGCTCTCACTGTTATAAGTTTTATTATCTATATATATGATAGCAGAGCAGCTAGTCAAATCGAACCTGCACTGGGGTGTGAATCTTCAGCTAAGCTAAGTTATCTAGGAGGCTGCAGCTCCAGACACCAGAGAACAGGTTTAATTTTGGCTTTCTGTCCCTCTAACATTAGCTGCTCGACTTTGTTTCCTCAGATGTGGGTCATTATGGTCTAAATTTGTGTCAGTAAAGCTTCTGATAGTCAGAATTTAATCTGTTCTGTGGTGAGCAGAGCTGGCAGCATGTCAGTTACGCTAATGCTAACCAGTTACTCTCTTCTGGTTAGCAGTGCCATTTAACATTTAGAAATTGGTGTTACATTGACATTTACTGAGTGGTGAATTTAAAATCGTGCACTGCTTTCATTTATTTGGCGTTCATGTGGACAAACTGAATTGTTTTCAGGATGTGAAATAACACAGCAGGATGTGGTGGCACAATAGCGACATAAACGGAGAACCAATCAGCAAATATCTACTGCATTACAACATCTCACTGAATGGTTCCGTGACCCCGAGTATGGTTAGCTAACCGTGCCGGGAAAAAGGGACTGAGCCCAGTTTTTTAGCATTCCGTGTCAAACTGTGTCCGTGTGGAAATGCCACTGGAACGGTTCCTCTCCGTGCTCAGAGCCGTGAGGCCCTGCATTGGAAAAGAGGCCATAGACAACTCGAGGTTTCGCTCCATAACACAGCTTTATCTTTAATCTGCTGAAAACAGCATGAAACACGCCGAGAAGACGCATCCTTTCCAGCGCTAACAGCTAAAAACACAGCCCTCTACTCCAGAAAACCCACTCACCCCACATTCAGGCTCTTCAACATAAAAGTAAAACAGCCATCACAGCCTGTGAGGCAAAATAGTCCCCAAAGAAAACCTATTATTTCAGAATTTCCACTATTTTCCCATCACCAACATTCCATATAAAACTCAGAAGACACGTGTAGGTTCACTGGTGGTTTTGGATAGTAAATAAAATGTCTTTATCTGTGTTGTAGTCATGGTTCTTGTCACCACCACTGTAAAAAAATCTGAACCATTTCATACCAAACCACTCTGTTTACATCCCACACACTCAATTAAGTGGAGTTTCTGTTTTTAAGTGGGCACTCTGTAAAGCCTGTATATCTCAGATACAAGTGGTCAACCCCCTACCCCCCCAACCTTGTCTCTGATGTCCTGTTTGCTGCGGGTCACACACAGCTCTCTGGCTCTCATGTGCTGCAGAGACTCTTTAGCCGACAGCAGTTTGAGTTTCTCCAGTCTGGGAGTCACAACGGCCCACGCAGCCGACCCAAACCGCTTACGGTCACTCTCCATCTGCTTCAGCATCACTACACACACACACACACACCAGGGTCACTCCCATTAACAATACTCATATGACTATATTCTATACACTATATATTGATATATATCATATGTAATTTGTGTTCTAATTTTAATCATTTTTATATATTATTGTAACCTGCTAGACTGGACGCTGTATCGTTGAAGTAGCAGACTGTGATGTCCTGGATGGAGCGCTCAGCCTCCTGACCGCGTTTACTCCACTCTTCAGCCTCCTTCTCCAGCTCAGCCACACGCTTCGGACCCAGCTCCTCCGTCTGTACACACTTCTACACACACACACACACATTATATTTATATATTTTATCAAACATAAAATTTGATATTATTTATTATATTTGATTTTATTTATTATTTTCAATATGCTCATTCAACCATTTTCTGCTCTTTATATAGTCAAAATATCATTAAATTAAATCAGGTGCTGCTGACGGAATTTAATACATTTGTTTGATGGCTGGAGACGTTCAGAATATATATATATATACATACATACATACATCATCCAAACCACTTATCCTTCTGGGTCGCGGTGGGGTGCTGGAGCCTATCCCAGCTGTCATTGGGCGGAAGGATACACCCTAGACAGGTTGCCAGTCCATCCCAGGGCAGACAGACAGACATACACAGTCACACACACACTCACACCTAGGGGCAATTTTAGCGTGTCCAATCAGCCTGACTGCATGTTTTTGGACTGTGGGAGGAAACCAGAGTACCCGGAGGAAACCCACACAGACACGGGGGAGAACATGCAAACTCCACACAGAAACGACCCTGGTCGCCCAGCCGGGAATTGAACCCAGGCCATTCTTGCTGTGAGGCGACAGCGCTACCCACTGCGCCACCATGCCGACCATATATATATAGACAGACACACACACACACATACATACATACATACGTGTATATATATATATATATATATATATATATATATACGTATGTGTGTGTGTGTGTATGTGTATATGTATATATATACATATATATATATACATACATATATATGGAGATAGATAGATAGATAGATAGATATTGAGGTATTGGTGATAACTATAAACACTGGACTACTTTCCAGGAGAGATACAGAAATGAACACACATTAAATCATAACGAACTGTTTATCAATTCATCTGTATTTGTTCTAATCTTTGATCTCAGTAAAATGATCTGATCAGTGTGTCTGATCACCTGGATCTCCATCCTGTACAGCGTGCTGATCTCTCTCATCTGTCTGAACGGCTGCAGCAGGTGCTGGTAGAACTGCGTCGCCACAGCAACTAAATCATCATATGCTTCATCTTCTTCCTCATAGATCTTCATCAGCTGCTGGAGTCCAGAGGCAGAGCGATGACCCTGCACAATCTAACACACAAACACACACGTGCGCACACAGTCCTGAGTTCCAGCCTAAACCAGCTTTAGTCCAACACAGATTGCGTTTAGTCTAGCAGATTTAATCCAGCGCAGTTTGGTCAAACTGGTCAGAAGGCTGTCCCTGATTGCTCAGAAGGCTGACCCTCATTGGTAAGAAGTCTGTCTCTGATTGGTCAGAAAGCTGACCCTGATTGGTCCTGTTTTTGCTCTTTAACTAAACCTGACTGTGTTTCTCACTTTTAACCCAAACCTGCTGGTCACACCCTTTACCCCTCAACCCCCTTTAACCCACCACTCACCCTCCTCACTCTCCCGTTGGCTCTCTGCACCTGCTCCTCCATGGCCTTCCTCTTAAACTCCTGCAGATCTTCATAGAACTGCTCCTCTTCCTCCTCCTGCAGGCTGAACAGAGTGTCCAGGACGATCCTGCTGCCGCAGAGCTCCACTGCTGCACTGAAATACTTCTCCAGCTGCCTGCAGACCCTGTCCACATCCAGCTGGCAACGGTCAGAGATGCACAAGACTACAGATCAATATTGAGCTTATTGCACTGTACAGACCATAATAATCCCAAAAGCTGAACAACAGCGAACCTTTTTACAATAAAGAAAGAAACTTATCAGCTGAAAACTGTGTTTCATTTGGATAAGATTAATAAGATTTACAAGGTCATGAAGACTTGCACCATTTATGAACACTGAATGGTTAATTTGATGCAACAATAATAAAAACAATAATAATACTCACCTGTAGTGATACTACAATAAATGCTAATAGTTTAACAATACTGTATTGTATAGTATGTATGACAAAAACATCATTATGACAAAAATCATATCATTATTGTATAGATGCTTATATCTGGCTGATTTACTGCACTGAAATATCTGAATTTCATTATTTAGTATTGTATTTTACTGCAGTAATAAAGCTTGTATTACTCTGTGATGATAATATAGCTATATTCAGTCCCATCAGTCCATAATTTCCATATCAGTGCATATCTGATTATCTATTAAAGTATGTGTTATTGTACAGAATTCTGTTGTGCTGATATTACATTATCATGATTATTAATATTTTACAGTGTAAAGTATTGTGATATGATGTATGGTCCAGTATGGTCTACTACTGCTGGTTCTCCAGCCTTGTAAAAAGCTGACTCCACAGGTTCCTCTCCTAATAATAATAATAATTATAATAATAATAATTCTACTGAAATAACTACCTGCTGTATGTTCTACCTGTTGTATGTTCTCCAGCCTTGTGAACAGCAGGTTCCACAGGTTCCTCACCCTATTATTATTAGTAGCATTCATATTATTATTATAGAGGCTGATATAATACAGTAACTGAACAAATGAGTGGAGAGTACAGTGATACAGAAGAACAGTTCCACCTGCAGCTGGTTCTATAACGACTATTATTATAATCATTATTATTAGTAGTAGTAGTAGTAGTAGTATTATATTGTGTGGTATATGCTAAAATAATACTGTTATTGGACAGATGAGTGGAGATTACTGTGATATGGGGTTTATTTCAGTGGTAAGTTCTACCTGCTGCTGAACAACAGTTCCCACAGGTTCCTCTATTTATCATTATTATTGTTATTATTATCATATAAGCTCCTGTAAGCTGATATAATACAGTTGCAGAGCAGATGAGCGGAGATTACTGTGATACAGGAGAACAGTTCTACCTGCTGCTGGTTCTCCGGCCTGCTGCTGCTGCTGCTGGTGCTGGAGAACAGCAGGTCCCACAGCAGGTTCCTGGCCGGGCTGAAGGCGCTGAGGTCGGGCAGGCAGTGCTGGAGCTCCTGTGCGGTGCTGGTCAGGGTGTTGTGGGCCTGTGTGATGTCTGTGGCGGACAGGAGGGCAGCCCAGCCCCGCTGACCGGCCACTGCGGCTCCTCTGGGGCTCCGGCTTCGGCAGGTCACCGCGAACTGACCCTCTACATCGCTCCACTGTACCAGGAAGTCCAGCCGGAGAGACTCCGTACCGGAGAACAGGTCGCTCCTGACCGCCACCCAGCCCTCCAGACTGTCCATCCGCTCCGAGTCCGCGCTGCTCATCATCCTCACTGCTCACGCGCGCTTCATCACAGCGCGGAGCGCGAGACCAGCCTTAACGAGCCACGCGAGCTCCGGATTTGTGTTTAAAAGTCCTGAAAGCACGAGCTTCTCTTTTACCTGTTTTTGTTGTTGTTGTCACTTTGCACTGTGACCGCCGCCATGCTGGAGTGACGTCATCACTAGAGAGGAATTCAGCGGAAGAACTTTAAAGTAAAGAAGAAAAAATTGTATAATAATAATAATAATAATAATAATAATAAGGAAACGAGACTAAAGTTAGTTTCATTTTCGAATCCTCCGTTCCACCAAATAGTGGCTGCACCATTTAAGGTGGAACGGAGAATTCGAAAAAAGAAACCTCATTCCTTCGCCATGCGAGTCACGTGCCGGGGTTTTCCTGCAGGGTTGGTCTCATTAATGATCTCAAACAGCTCTCACTCCCTCACCCTGAGGGAGAACCACTTCATGATACACACACTGGAGGTTTATTAAGGTTCCCCTTTAGGCTCTTCTACATACTTTACTCACGGTGCATTCAGCTTTACTCGCTGATAATTGCATTATTAGTATTAATATTGCACATTAAACACCAATTTTGCAAATTACTGAATTATCTAAACCCACCTGTTACAAATAATATATGATTATAAGTGACTCTCACACAATAGACATCCAGTTATCTATTAATACAGTTCATAATGAGTAAAGTTTAATACACAGTGAACAAACCATTTGATTCCTGCTCCCAGTGTGCGTTCCTTAAACTAGTTTTATCAACATAATATTCTATTTTTAGAATTAGCCAATGTAGTGTTAGCTAGCTTGACTTCAGCAGCACATCACTGTATATAATAGCAATAAAAATAATAATGATAATTATAATATAAGTAACTTGGAGTCAGTTAAAGTACTTTATTTAACAGAGCTATTATACATGACTCTAATAATGACACCAGTGTGTGTGTGTGTGTGTGTGTGTGTGTGTGTGTGTGTGTGTGTGTGTGTTGGAATTGACCCTTGTTTACAGTGAAAAGAAAAAAAGAGTAAAAATATATTTGTGATAGTAAGAATAAAGCAAAGAAAATAAAATATGAGTAGTACATAAAAGTAACATTTAGGAAATGTTAAGACAAATAAGACAACCAATTAAAACTATTAAACATGTTAGTAATAAAAAGTAGTAATAAAAGTAAACAAACAAAACTACCGGGTAAGAACAGAAGGATGAAGAAGAACACAATAATAAAACAATAGTAATGTCAAAATAATGAAATAAGAACAATAAATGACAATTTATTTTATTATTTTTATCATTATTTCAAATGACAAAAAAAATCAACTAACAACAACTAAAATAGATGATATAAACAAAAATATAAAAATAAGACTAATTGAGTTAAAGCATGTGAGGCTGCATAGAAATCTGTTTTTAAACCAACGCTTCAGTAATGCTCCTTGTATGTTCATCATGATAGCTAGCTATGTTAGCATCAAGCTAGTGGGACTCAGCACTATTTGGGATTTTAATCTCAGCTCTTGTTTAAATATAGACATCAGGCATGTAAGCAACATTCCTCACTTTGTAAGTCTCCGTTTTTAAGTATTGCTTAATTTAAGGGCTTAAATTTAAAGTCTCTTTTTTTGTCATTGTAGCGTTAGCCTGTTAGCCTGTTAGCCTGTTAGCTAGTTTTCTGCTGACCTGCCCAGCCTGATAGTAAAGGCAGAATCCAGTTATAAGGAAAATATAATGTTACTGTCAGTTTATCATCTGGCTGCATTTTCTGTGCTCAGATTTCAACAATACTAATAAATATAAGTGTATAGAAATGGGTTAGTAGAGGCTGTACTCTTTAAACCTCCATTTAGCAAGGGATAAAATTTAAAAAAACATAGAAATAATAGATTGTCAATGATGATTTACTGAATATAGAACTGGTATGCTGTATTTTTATACCACTGTTAAATTTTGAATATTTGTTTTTAAATAATAGCACAAAACATCCAGATTGCTACTAGTCATATGGCTTCTAGCTTTAGCTGCTAGCTTAGCTGTCACCTTCAAAATGGGAAATAGCATAGCTAAATCTAGAGCAACTCTGTTATACAGGTAATTCATTTACTAAGTAATCTACAATATGTGAATATTACACTATTACACTATAACACTTTAACCACATATTTTTAAGGCCAAATATTTCGCAATATCAAGATATTGTGAAACTACTAAGGGCTAACAGCTGACATCACTACTCTGCTAGCTAACTAGCAAAATGTTTGCTAAGCTAATGTTTCTAATTAGTTTATTAGCAAACTGAGCGTTTAAAAATCAGCAAGGAAATTGTTTTAACTGGTAAGTAATTCTTGCTAACTGCTTTTCCAAGTGCTGAGGAGAAGTGAGCGACTGTCAAAGTAGTGAAATAGAGCACAACCTCGTCACAGAGAGGAATACTTAACTACAGTTCAAACAGTTTGTTTTACACTAAAATCATATCAAGATCAGTGGTAAAGCGTGTAAGTGGGCTGTAGGTGGTTTAGTTGGAGAATCTATGTAATTCTGTGCGAGTAAACAGGCTGTAGAGGTGATTGCCATCTCTGCTCTGGACAGGAACAGCAGGAGCTTCACCAAATATAGACAATGAGAATGCAGTGCCCACTCAGACATGCAGTTCATTCTATATTTAGTAGAAGCTCCTGACAGCCTGTAATGGCCGTTTGTGTCCGTGCGAGCGATCAGCAGGGACTTTCCACTCTGAGTTTGGGAGACTGAAGCTCCAGGAGGGTGAGGAAGAGTTCATTTACATTTTAAAACTCTTAACCCATTAATGTCCATGTGTGAAACGTTACATTTTCTCTGAGGAGAAATCTGAAGGCATTTTTCGAATTCATCAAATGGTGCGGCTCAAGCGTTTTGTCGCTTAATATTTATCATTAAATTCAGCATGCATTCACATCATCGGAATCTTATATCAGAATCAGCTGATAATTGTTCAATCGTTTTAGCATTACATGGTTAGATTTAATTGATTTTGTTATACTCATGTTTAATCGTGCATTTTCTTTCAGAATGTTTAGGCAACTACACTGAAAGGTTGGTTTTTATGTATTTATGTTTACTGGATTTGCTGCTCTACAGAAATAAGTTATATTTCTCTGTAATGATAATCCGGGTAGATTTTGTTTCAACTGCTATATTTTTTAAATGCTTAAGTGTTTGCATCAGCACATGCATACATCAATACACAATTCCATATCTCTGTAACTGATCTATTATTAATTATTCAGTATTTATTACGAATTATGAACAACTGAATTAAACTGATTCAGCTGACCAGATTTTAACTGAATGGGACAGAACTAAATGGAACGAAATTGAACTGAATTGGACTGAATTGAATTTATTCGCATGGAGTATAACTGAACTAAATCAAACTGAATTGAATCTGAATTTGACTGAATGGCACTGAACTGGACTATATCGACCTGACCTGGTCTGACCTGAACTGAACTGATGTGAAATAAACTATTATAAATAGTTCAAGAAATTATACTGAACTGTATTGAAGTGAATTCAAATATACTGAACTGAATTTAATTAAACTGAATTATTCTGAACTGAACTGAATGAACCAACAATTATACTTAACTGAACTGAATTATTCCCGGGCTGTGTTGAACTGAACTGAGCTGAACTGAATTGAACTGAACTAAATTGTTCTGAATTAACCTGAACTGAATTCAACTGACTGACTTATACTGAACTGAATTATACTGAATTGAACTGAACTGAGCTGCTGTATCTGCAGAATGGACATGTACGAGATGAGGGGTCGGCTGCAGGTCATCGCGGAGGAGATGGCGGTGAGTGAGGATGAGGAGGGTGAGGGAGACGAAGAATCGTTTGTGATGGTCAGTAAGCGGCAAGCGACCTCCGACTCCTCTGGTCCAGCCGCCCCTTTCTGCAGGGACTGTATCACCCCCGCTCAGTCAGGACACCCTCCCAACCACAGAGTGCTCTCCCTGCAGGAAGCCGCGCAGGACATGAAGGTCAGGAGGTCGTCACACTGAGACTCTGTACTGACCGACTGCACTGCAGTTCATTAATGTCTGATAACTCTGTGTGTGCGTGTGTGTGTGTGTGTGTGTGTGTGTGTGTGTGTGTGTGTGTGTGTGTGTGCAGACTGAGCTCAGTCAGAGCTGCAGCAGATTGACAGAGAAGATCAGTCAGATGGAGAACTTCGCCAGCAATCTGGAGGAGATCTTCATCACTGTGGAGGTAAAACTCTCAAGAACAAACTTCATAAAGTTCGGTAACTTGGAGAAATGAAGAAGATCAGACTCTGGAGTAAAAATGTTAGAATTCAGACATAGATTAGATTAGATTAGATTAGATTAAATTAGATTAGATTATATTAGATTAGATTACAGAACTTCTGACAACAAATTAAAAGATTAATACTGTATAAAAATGTGACATGCTAATAAATAAGAACATGCATGTAAATAATTATAATAGTAGAAAAACATATTAAGAAATGTTACCATCAGAATTGATAGTGTTCAGAGCGCCCCCTGCTGCTTGTGTTCTGATCATAGGTTTATAATGAATTGGAAGTGATGAACGTTACAGGTTGTACAGTATAATAATAATAATAATAATAATAATAATAATAATAATAATAATGATAATAATAATAATAATAATAATAATAATAATGTCATCTTTATTTATTAATCACTTCACAGCACTGGCAGCTCAGAGTGCTTTACAGACAGCTGATAAAGCTTAACAGTAATAGAAGAAACTATGAGTATTCATTTAAAATCATATGATCAGATTAAAGAGATAAACACCAAAGAGCTGTAGGGTTTTACTGAAGTGCTGAGTTAAAGAGCTGTGTTTTCAGATATTTATTAAAAGTGAGCTCTGAGCTTGACTGTCTAACAAAAGGTGAACTGAGCTCCACAGTTTAGAAGCAGAAAAACAGAAAGAGTCTCTTCACGTTTTCTATATTTTACAGAAGGCATTTGCAGAGGATCTGAGATCAGTAGTGTGTTGGAACTGGAGCAGTACAGTGTGCCGTGTTGCCCCATATTCAGTTATATTGGACAATAACTGACAGCAAAAGACAGAAATACAGTTTTTATGAGTGTTTCCCCAAAACAGACTCCACAGATGATGTCACACATCCCACAAAGTGGCAACTGGCTGGCAGTGAGGCAGCACTGCGCATTTCATACACTCACACTGCAGTGACAGCTTTAACTCACCTGATCAATCAGACTCATCACAGTCTCTTATTTTGTTTATCAGAAAAGTATAAAATTTTCATTTGTTTCTGTCAGAGGAGCTGGATGTAACTGTGAAGCACCATTTAGTTT